AGAGTGGCCGTGGCTTTTGAATTTTTAACTCTTTGTCGTGTGGCATAGGCAAAACATGTTTTATGTTAATTAGTCTCTTTTCACAGCTTTTATTTGTATGTTTCTTTTTCTCTTTCTGTGCAAAAAAAAAAAATCATAATTAAGCTGTACATCCCGTTCGTTGGAAAAATCGTTGATTCCATTTGCGCTTTAATCTCATTTGGTGTAATGTATTTGCGGATCACAAGAGATTTATTATCATGTGTGCTTTATACTTATATATAGACAAGTATGCTTGTTTATGGTTATTTTTGGGATTTTGGCAAGAAACCAACCACGACATTGGACATAATACTTATTAATGGGTTCCGTTCCAAGGTTGATTTACCGACTCTAAGCAAATGTAGGTTATAGGTAGGTTATAAAAATAATTGGATTATTGCTGAGGATTAATATAGAAACTTGTCTTTCATAAATAAGTATATGAAATAAGATATAGTTTATTGACTTGCAAATCTCTATATTCAAAATTTTAAGGAGAGAGAGAGAGAGATAAATAGAGAAAATATGAATATTTATTGATCAAGATAACATTCGACTAATTTAATGTTAAAGGGGAATCACAAAGCATAGACTTTTATCCCCAATTTATTGAAACCAAAACTCTAGGATTTAAATGGAGTGAACCAGTTCGTTTCAGGTAGTTATTTATTGTCAACCGAAGTTGTAACTATTTAATATGAACTGCAATTTTGTGATATAGCTTTAACTAAGGATCAAGGCTTGAACTATTTACATTACGCACTGAAGAAGTCATTAAGAACTGAGAGGTATTTTTATTGAACTAGTTCGTACCCATAATATTTAAATTAAGTGATTGTGACTATAATTAATTTTCATTATTAACTAAAAGGCCTAAAGTAATCAGTTCAATTTGAAGAAACATTTGGTTTGTGACTTTCAGTTTTGCTTTTGAAAGATAGAGTCATCAATGCGCGTTTGTAAATCTTTAAATAAATGCATATAGCATACTTCTGGGTATATTTGAATTGAAGAAGAGAATTTATTTTTATGAGTGGTACGTGCTCTTCAGCTGGTTCTTGCACTGTGAACCAGTTTTGTGATGTTGTCTGATTTCTGCGTATCGTTTAAGTTGCATATACATATTTAAACGCTGTCAGATAACTCAGCTGCTCGTTGCACTGTTGCACATTTCAATTGGCTGCCGCCGCGCAAAGCATTTGCGAAAATGCATTCATCAGCATAATTAAGTCGTCAATAACTGCCCGACGTCTATGTGTGTATGTGAAGTGGACAATTTATGTCATTAGCAAACGAACGTGCGGAAGGCCTCCGAAACTCCAGTTGGACTCGTCTGGCGCATTGATTTATTAGGTACTACATATGGCAGGCCCATGCTAAACTATATACATATGTATGTAAGTATGTGCACACATGCACATATATTACATAACCGCCAACAGTATGTACCGTTACTTGCCTTGTTAATGAGCACACATCTCAGCTTAACAGAGGAACACAGAGAGAGAAGGAGAGAGAGAGAGAGGAAGGGAGAGACAATTGCTCATCTGTGGGCCAAGCACGTAAGCAGCTATCTCGCTCGCTCCAGTGGCGACCCCGGTAGGAGCAGACCAGACCCAGAAGCACAAAGAAATGTGCATATTAAGATAGAAATGTAATGGTCAGACGCAGCAGATCAACAGCCGGGCAGCTGGACAGCCGGGCAGACCGACGACAGTGGCCGCCAAAAAGTTTACGGCCAAGGAATGCCAACAGTTTCAGTTTCGGGCATGTACCATGTACAACATGCACTCACAACTTGCAACTGGTTCGCGGTTCGTGGCGGGAGGAGGTGGAGAGAGGCAGATTCTAGGCTTTGTCTGAGTCGCCAGTCTGGTTTTTGTATCTTTTTTTTTTTTTAGTTTATTATTTTTTGTATGGCATCGCCTTAAGCTCTGAAATGGGTCAATTTAGTGACAAGCGATGGCGTTGCGATCCAATGCCACTCTACAAGACATAGTCTACCATCTAACAACTAACAGCTAAAAGCGGACAGCGACAAGCTTCTCTCGTTGCTGCATCTTGCGCAGACTTGACACATAATAATCACTGTAAATGGACTTTCTTTTATCTGTGCTCAGGAATTTTTAGAGCTACACTGGCCAGTAGTTAAGAGAAATTGAATAGAGTTTGATTCTTTAAGAATTATAATTTTAAGATTTACTGTAAAATCTATCTTGCAATTTTTTGATAATAATTCGATTTATTAAAAAACAGACAAAATAATAAGAATAAAATACTAATATTTTGAATTCATATGAAGTTTTTTAAGAAAGCTCTGGATTATCTGAAGACCTCCAAAACTTATTTCTATATTTTTTATTTTTTATATTAATTTAAATTAATTATTATTAAATTAAAAAATATGAACTATGCATATTTGTGAATTTTTAGTTTTATTAAAAATAATCTTTGCCTATGCCAAATGTGAATCACTTACATTCGAATCATCAGTTTCCTCCATGAATTTTATACAACTTCCGGAAACACGAGTTTTTATCGAAAATAAAATATATATGTACATAAATAGTACATATATATATAATATATGCATACATGCATTTAAAAGTACTCAGCTATGGAGATATTATGTAGTGGGTTCCACGTTCGCCATGATAAGTAAATCACTAAAGACACAAGTCTTATCATGGCAGATTTTATGCTGGAATTATGGTTTATTTATAGGTAATTTTACTTTAGGTAGGCGTAACAAAAGAAAAACTTTGTTAAACTATCTGTATATTTTATCTACAAAGTTATATAGACACCATCCACCCACAGCATTGCACTCGGACTTTGTTGTAATCAATTAAGTTGGAGAATTATGGAACTGTCGAGGGCAATGTCGGTTGGCATTGTTTCGCGTGGGCGTAGAGTGACCGGAGTGCATTGATATACATAGCTTTCCCAGCTACGACATATATATATTTTATTGCATTGCTTTTGGGGTAGAGCAAGAGGCGGAAACTTCAAGGCGTAAATAAATTAGAGCAACATGACCAGCAACTGAATGGCTTAACTTATCAATCGAACAATTATATTTGGTACCCAGCGCCCGGCTTGGTCTATCATGGCAAAAAAAAAAAGGTTTTCAAGCGACCCACTCGCTTTGGCTAGCACGCAAACGAGTCACGAATCTTAGAGAGTCTAGAGCATAAGATTGGCCCAGCTGCTTAAGCCAAAAGATGATGCCCAGCCAAACGCCTTTTGTTATTAATATAACCCACTTTTATGCTCGTGCCGCAGTTCAATTACAAATTTGGAGTCTATAAAATGAAAGGATAACATTTGAAAAGAGAGTTATCAAATTAATGCAATCAATTGCAGTCGCTTTTCCAAAATATGAAATATGAGAGAGTCAAAATGTTAATTAGATAGATAAGATGAGCTGTTAAAACTATGCAGTCTTAGCTATAATGATGATTGTATATTGTGGAAACATACATATTATATATTCGTCAATATATACGCTTCACCGATTTTTACTAGAATATAAACGAGCAGTTTCAAATCAAACAAAACCGAACTAAAAAATTATTGAACATGACTCTGGTTCGGGGCTCATGGTTAACGATTCATCATACATCAAGTTCGATTCTGTTTGCTAGGTCAGGTTTACGCTACTCTTATTGCATACACAATATGAACACGCTGTATGCCATATGAAAGATGGCGGGAAATATACGATATACGAAAATCAATTTATGCAAATAAATGCAAGTCAATTTATCTAACTGCTTTTTAGTTATAATAAAATAATAATATACATTTGCCTTAATTAACTTACCTATTGTAATTCCTGTAATGCTTTGTTAGTTATTACACAGCAATAATATTTACAGCAATCCAAGAAGTAAAGTTACTTTCTTTGCACATGCACAAAAAGTTTAGTTGAATATATTAATATTCTTTGCTTGTTATTGACAACTTTTCTTTATGTGTAAAGGCGTAGAGCAGGGTGCTGTTAAATCTTTGATAGACAGTTGTTATACACTATTAATATTTTATAGACAATAAATGCTTGTCAGAATCACAACGAAAGGAAAAATTTGCACACAAATATGCCACGACGAGCGCGTCAAAAACGAACGAGCCTGAAACCTCGACTGAACCTGAACCGGAGCTGAGCTTCAAACTTTGAGCGCGCGAGTGAGCACAAACAAACACACACACGTTCGTTCGATCGCTCATTTACTCTCTCGACCTCTCTCTCATTTTCTACTTTGTTGTGCTTGTTGGTCATTGTGTTCGTGTGTGTGTATGTATGTATGTATGTATGTGTGGGAGTGTAAAACCAGTTTGCTTGAGTTTAACTGCTTGCCACATGTGGCAAATGTGTTTGTTTGCTTGTTGCGCTTACCTTGCCGATCTACCCCTTTTTTCGTTCACCCTCTCTTTCTCTCTCATACTTTTCTGTATGGCGATCTCTTGCTTCTCTTGCTTACGTTCGAGCTGTGCACGTTTTATACAGCCTTTGCCAGCAACTTTTTAAATTAAAAGCCAACAGGCGACGTTTTTTTTTCAATTCTTTTTCTTTTCGTCGTTTTCTGCTTTTGCTTCTTTTCTTCTGCTTTGTTTGTCACATAATCAAAACAAACGCGCGTTTCGATCACGATGCGTTCTTTGTTTTTGTTTTTATTTCGACTTCTGGTTGTCCCTGTCGCTGCCGTCTCTCGTTCTTTCGTTGCGTTTTGTGCCTACGCCGCTGCTCATTAACTTTTTACAGCTACTGTTTCTTCTCTCTTCATACGAAGTACGTAATTAATTTGATGGCCCCGAATTGTTAGAGGAGCGCGCTTAGCCGCCCAGATAAGCCCCCAACCTCCAAGTCAACGTGCCGCGCTCCAAGCGAGGCAGTCGTAAATTGCCTTGCGTCAAATCAAATTAGTTTCAGGGTTCAATCTGTCCATCCCAGCGAGCATTAGCAGTTGATTTTTGTGTATGCTCAGCAGAGTCTTTATTGTGGTTATCTCTGGGACTGTTTTTGTCTACAGCTTGACCTTAGCGAGAGCTGTTGCTCATTTAAGATTCTTCTTTACAGTTAGATGCATAACTTGATAACGGTTAACGAATTAATCGTTTTGAAATTGTAATTTTAGTTGGTTTACACACAAATTGTATTTGTTATAAACTTTTTTCCATATCCGATTGTAATTTTTTTTGCTGTTTTGTTGTATTTTTGTAAACTATTTTCCTTACCCCGTAATGCCGAATGTTCCTTTGCCAGCTGTTCCCAGGTAATTCTAATACACAGTTATAAGTACGTGTGTATAAATGTACATCCATATATGCATGTGTATGTAGAGTAGTTACGTTTGAAAACGCTTAAGCTGGTTTGGGAACGATTTTAGCTGTGCCACATTTATGTAGATTTTGTTTGGTTTAAGTAAACATATCTTATCTAGTGGTGCCACCCACACACAGGCCGCATGAATAAAGTGGGCTGTGGATGCGCTTTGCAGTCTGCTGTAACTAGAGATGTGTGTTGCACAATATAATGGGTTGGTCACGTGACACGAGCCAGAACTAATCGAAGAAGTCGGTGCTGAGTGCAGCTCCTTTAAAAGCCACGTAAAAAAAAATTAAAAGAAAACGAAACACAAACCAGTTAAATTAAAGCACAAGAAATACAAGCGACCCACGTCAAGAATAAGGGACATGGTGAACATAAATGCAATTGAGAGACATGACCATAGGATATGCAACATGTCAACTGCGACAGGCCACAGCGGAGCTTTGGATGAGCCAAGAGCCAGGCTCATGACAACCTGCAATCAAGCGCCAGAAGGCAGCCAGCCAGTCAGCCATCTAGCCAGCAGAGGTTGCAGTCTGGGCCATCATCAGCATGCTGCATGCAATCGCGTAGGCAACCAACATCATTGCAACAATAAAGCGACATTTGTGCGAGAGACTTTAACTTAAATTATGCGCCAAGAAGCAAATAAGGTCTCCACTCGCCAGTCACCATAATGATGGCAATCCATGGGCCATAATCAAGTTGCCCGTTGCACAAAGTCATGGTCATTTTGCTGTTGTTGCTGCTGTCTTTCCCAACTCCAAACAACAACAATTTCTGTTGTTTAGACAACAGTCAAACAACAACCACAGAAAACAACTCTGGAACGCTAAGGAACCGCACATAGAGCGCATCCAGACTCATACAAATATATGGCTTTGTGGCAAGCCAGCAAGTTTTCAAGCGGCAGCTGTTTTATCAAATCAAGCGCGTGCCACAGCCATTTTTGCACCTGTGGCACCTTCAGTGTGGTTTAATATTTCGTTAAATCGACAATTTAAGTGATAATTTTTACCCAAAACAGCTGCGTGCAAACAGAACACGAGCCAAATTTCCAAAGGGGGAATAAAACAAGCTGAGATGCGCTTATTAAACTGGTTGCAAGCTGATGCACACATAAATTAAGTTTCGAGTCGTCTCAGCTCCTGCTGTTGTTGCTGTTGCTGCCCCTCCTGCGGCCTGTGGGGGCTCAGCCTCTCAATTCTGTTAGAGATGGAACAGCTCCCATTAGACGTAATCGTGGCGCAATTGTCGTTGATTGTTGTCGTCCGTTTTTCTTGTGCTCTTTCTCAGCTAGCCCCTTTTTCCAAATGTAGATGATTAGCTAAAATGCGTGCGAATCTTCATTGAGTCGATGACAATTGCTGATGTCAGCAATTTATTTACATGGATCTAAATAGCAACAATTGCATATGGTTACTTGTCTCGCTCCAATTCTGTAAATATAAAAAAATGATGTATTTTTTTAAATTAAGATAAAGCACTAAAGCATTTTTAAGCAATGGCAACTTTAAATAGACTACCGTAGAATGAATTCAATTGAAATTTCGCGCCTAATATTATCTATCGAACTAGAACTAGTATTTAATATTTTCAACTCCATTGTTATCGAACTGTTATCGATGCGTCTAAAACCAATATCGAATTGGTGTTGTAAAATACCAACTAGAGAGAAGCAGCTGAAGGCTTATAACAAATTTTGTAAACAATAGAAATTTTAATACATTGCACGCAATGAGATCCACCGATGGTCAGTCTATTGCTCAACGCTATCGGGTTATTAATAACAACAAGAAATTGAAAGTAACACACAGAGCCGTTGCACCATCAGTTCACAAAATGGGTAACAAACGATTTACCCAAACAAAGTTGAAGCAGAGAAATGTTTTGCCTGAACCAGAAGACTACCAGGAGGACGACATGTCCCAATTGAGTGATATGGAATTTGTGACAGAATCAGAGGCAGGCGGACATCGTAAACAATGAAATTCAAAATTAATCATATCATATATCTTCATAGATGGAACAAACCGACAATGAAAAAGATGCACTGAAGACATTGACATCTACGATTCGACCGCTGCTTCAACTCTTTTCCGACGATTCCTGCTCACCTAGAAATACAGATCCTGTTAATCAGAATACAACATCTCAGGATGCAAAGCAGAACAACCAACAGATTGTTTATAAAAATATCAATCTTTCCTCTGAAGAAGATGACGAAGAGGAAGAGGACGGGTATGAAGTGGAAGACAAATCATCATTAGAAGATGAGCATAATGCATTTGTGATTGATGAAGCCCCAAGGGTACCAGAACATAAACCAATCCGCCCAAGATTGGACAGCCTCAGTCGATTTGAATGGTCGCCAAAATCAACAAATATTTTCTTGGATCTGTGGGAAAAACATTTAAAAGATTTACGAGGCCCACGAAAAAATGCCCATATACACAAGGAAATGGCCGAGGAAATGAGTGAATATGGACCTAGTCATAAAGAGATCAAATCAAAAATGGACAATATGTCTAGGAAATTCAGGTACTTTACAGTGGAGCCATATACTTATATATGCTTAAACAAGTATTAATAATTCCTTTTCGATTGTAGATTAGAAATGCAGAAGGTAAAAGCTGGGAATTCTACAAATTGGCAATATTTTAAACGCGTTCAATCTCTGCTAGTTGGAACGCCCTCTGTAGATTTTGAGGAAATCATATTCGATAATACGGGTAAACAGTTGAAAATCCCAGACTTGTATGGATGAATGCATAATTAAATCTTCTTAACACAGATTCCTCGACATTTTTCAATGCAGACAGTAGTGATGAGGAAAATGATATACATAGCAATTCACATCCGGATAGAGAGTCGGAGCAGCAACCTATGCCCACAGACGAGACTGACCACGCCGTTAGAGAAGAGTTAGAAGAGCAACACCAGGCAGGTGGGAAAGCAGGGCGACCTCCGTCAAATTCTCGAAGATCAGAGAGAGAGAATTATTATCACGCATCAAGAGATTATCCAACAAGTCGTATGCTGGATATTGAAGAAGAGAAATTAGCTATTGAGAAACAAAAATTACAGGTCATGAAACATATATCCCGAGAGCTAACATCGATAAGTAAAACACTTATTGAATTGCTACGGAATGCAAAATAATAAAATAAAGTTTACACAATTTAAAAATAAAATTATTATATATATTTAATTTAATTCAAATTTAAAATAAATCTATATCTCGAATGAGGTAACATGAAAATATACGTACGGAGTCTTTTTAGTATTTTTCTTGCCTTCGTAATTTTTCGTTTACTAGTTAGGGTCACACTGATTAACACGCTATGGAAAAGCCTATAAAACAAGCAATGTTTATAATAAATGTTCAGGAAGAAGAGGCAAAGTGTACTGAATCACAGTTGGATATATTACTTAAAATCCATGACGGCCAGTACAGACTAGTAAAGAAGAAGAAACGCAGCTCTGTGTGGAACGTGTACAGGGAAATTGCCCGTCCGGACGGAACTAAACTAAAATGGAGATATTATTGCTTGGGCTGCAAGCGTGTAATGCAATCAACTGGAGGGACTACATCCAATCTGCGCATACACAAATGTCATGTACGTTACCTGAAGCAGCACGGCAAGGATGAAGAGACGCCAAAGAAATCACATATCCGTGACAGTGAGCAAAGGACGCCAATGACATCGGGTAAGCGTCAAATTCAAGGGTACAATGATTTCGTAGATACAAAGGCCACAGCAGAGTACAGCGATGAAGAAGAAGAGTACGAGGAACTCAACATCACACCAGCTTCAAATATAGAGGTGAGGGCTTATTAATATTATGCTTCTATTACTTATATTTCTACCCTTTCATAGATTGAACAAATTGGTTCACAGGAAAATAATCATATGTCCGTTGAGAGACCACTTCTTAAGTTATTCTCGGAGGATGAGGTTTGGTCACCCGAAGTAAACGAAGACCATCCCATTGAAATAGATAATGTAGCTGAAGACGTATCTATGGACTTTCGTAAGGAAACCATCCATCCTAATTCCTCTCAAGAAATTCATATTGATGCCAGTGCAATCTCTGAAGCCGAAAGCTATGCCCGAGCTTGGGCACACGCATTCCTCAAATTGAGCGAAGAGCAAAAATTCTTTGCGAAACGCTCGATTGATGAGCTTTTGGTATTGGGAAGATTGGAACGATTGAATATATCGACGGTGACATCGCTGACAACCAACTTATAAGGCTCGAATTAACAACTATAAAACATGGCTAGCATTAGCTTGGTTTAATTAATTTTTATATAATATAAACATATATAAACTACATACGAAGGCGTAAGTTCTCAAATTATAATTGATACTAAGTTGAACCTATGGCTTCTGTAATATTTTTACTTGCTCTGGGAGTTAAGAAATCAAATCATTGTATCACGCAATATTTTTCTTAAAAACAAAATTTTATAAGGAGTCTTCAAGAATTTCTAATATTCTGAGGCTAGTTTTAACAATTGTAAAAATTATTTACCAACCAAATAAATGATAAAACTGCTTTTAATATTTTTCAATTTTTTTATTTTTTCCAATATATTTTTTAGTTTTTTTGTTTGTTTTTCTTTGTTGCATTTTGCATTTTGTATATACTTTTCTTTGCTGTGAATTACAAACTGTTTCCTCTCATCTGCTTTCGCTCGATGTTTCGTGTACATTTGCGGGGCATGTATATTGAATAAGTTTCTCCTGATCTGAATTTTATTATTACAATTAAATGTGACTTTCCGTATTGAGAGCTTACGTATATCAGATGTATCTCAATGATGGGACAATCAATGAGGTGTATGTGTGGTGTAAACGTGTTTGTGTGTATAAATGAATTCATTTTTAATGTTAGGATTTTTGGTCAACATCTTCAATACGAAACTCTAAAAATTGAAAGCTGGTAACAATCACGCACAACAAACCTTTCATGTAAAATTACAAATTCAAAATATTCAAATAATTAGTTTCTTTGTATAAATATGTGTATAAATATAGATATATATATATATGTATGAATATGTATATATGCATTTTGTTTGCCTCTAATATACGCAGTTAGGCTTCTGTGTCTATGAAGTTTATTGCTTGCCTTCGCTGATTTTATAATACAATTTGAAATTTATGCAATTTTTTTTGCCATGCACACACATAAATATGGTATATCAAATATATCATTGAATTGAATTTGAAGTTGTTTTTCCTTTTTTTTTTTGTTTAGTGTTCTTTTTGGTTTATCATTTGTAAATTTTACATTTTGGTTTTCCTGTCGCTTGTCCCAGATGAAAACAAAACATAAAATATGCGGCGGCCCATTTGCATATTTATACGTGGACGAATTTTCATTTCCATCTATTGTTGTTAATTATTTTTCATTTTCATGTTGTTGTTGTCGTTGTTGCTACTGCATTTCTAGTTGGTATTGTAGTTGTTGTTGTTACTGTCTAATGCAGTAGTTGGTGCTTCTTGTTTTTGTAGTAGTTTTTGATGTTTGACTTTTTTTTTTTCTTTTTCTTTTATTGTTTTGCTTTGTCTAAGCGGTGCTTTCTGTTGTTGTATTTTGCAGTTCTTGAGCGCCATTCTATGATTGAAGGGGTCGTTAATTATGTCAAATAATGAAATAATAATAAGAAATAATAAAGTTAAGATCAATGTTGGAGTAATTTGTATGCAGTGACACAATTCGTTGCATCATGTTGTTAGCCCCACAAATAAATCTATGTACAGATACATATGTAACGTTAATTCAGCGGCGCGCTGTTACATGCATTCTAAATGAAATGTTAAGAACCAAAAAGCCTCTTATGTTAACTACCTAAATATATATATATATTTATATAATATATAAATATATTTAGGTGTGTGTGTGTGTGTGTGTGTGTGTATTTGTGAGTGTGTGTTAGTGGTTAATTATGAGCACAGTTTGATGCATTATTCTCGTTAGTTTGTAGTTGCCGCCACCGAAAAGCCACGCTGTTGTTGATGTTGTTATTATTGTTGTTTTTGCAGTGCTGCTTGTTGTTAAAGATGTAGTAGTAGTTCTTGTTGTTGTTGATGATGTTGTGGTTGTTATCGTTGGTGTTTGTTTGCTTTTGGCTTTTAGTTCATTACCTGCTGTGACTGTTGCTCCATGCCACCGCCAGGTCCATTTGGCTTACGATTTTGACGGCGCGGACGGAACGGCTGACGTGGCGGTCCTTGGCCACCTTGAACTAAAGGAGTTTTTAGCCTAATTAACAATTATTTTTATTATTTTCAGAATGCGAATACTCACTATACTCGCCACCATCACGACGCGGCGGTGGTCCGTTGCGTCGGAAGAAGCGTCGCTGAGGTCCACCAACGCCGCCACCACGTCGTGGCTGTCCATCGCCACCTCGCTGCATACCATCTGAATTGGAATCATGAACGCCAGGTTCAGCACTGCCATCGCCGCCGCCTAACACGCGACGTGTCTGACGCGGATAGTAGTTATTGTAGCGGCGTTGTCCGAGTCCACCAGGTGGTCCGCCACTACGAGGAGCACCGCGTGGGCCACCGGGTGGACCACCAGGGCCGCCACCGGGACCACGACGATAGTTCTGACGTGGCTGGCGTGGACCTGACTGCATTTGCTGTTGCTGCTGACCATCCAGTTGCTGTTGCTGCTGCTGTTGTGCCGGAGCCATTTCATCACCTTCGTTGTCGCCCTCGCCAGGTTGCTTGCGGCGATTCTTCTTCATCCATGGTCGGAAGTTGCGACGTTTGTCAGCAGCAAACTGACTGCCGCGCACCGGCTCTCCAGATGGCCCAGTTACATTGGCCGCCTCATTGCCCTTCTCACCAATCACCACATCGAATTCAACAAGTTCACCGTCGCCGACCGAGCGCACAGCCTTCTTCGGATTGTTGCGCGCAATAGCACTCTGGTGCACAAAGACGTCCTCTTTGGTGTCGTTGCGATTGATGAAGCCATAACCGCTCTTCACGTTGAACCACTTCACGGTGCCGGTAACTTTAGTGGCTGCAACAAAAATACAGTTTTGTCATTACTTAATCGATATATAACACACCATTCACATAAGAAAACAGTTAAATATATTTAAATTTTAATTCTGATTTATTACCAAATGAGTCGTGAATGCCATTAATTCCTATCAAAACAACATTCCCTCCTCTTATCTGTTTCACATGCCGAAAGTTTCTATTGGGTACTCAAACTACTGTGTATACAAATAAAGTTACCAAAACAATGAACACGCACACATGCACATGTATGTAGAAACGCACACAATTCACTCTCGTTTTGGATAAGAGAGTGCGCGCACCAAAATACTAAATGAACAGGAGAGAACAGAGAAGAGAACAAGCAGCCAAAACGACGGCTAACAAATTAGGTTGCCAGCATTTGTTCGGTCAGCCGTATGATGGGGCCGCGGGGGTGGGCTGTGCCACCGGCAAAAAGTAGAATTTTCATTTCGTTTCTTGCGCCGCTTTTCACATGCGGCTACGGACGAGCCGGCGAATGTGTGAATATATATGTATGTATGAACAGCATACAAAATGGCGGCGCGCGTATATTTTAAGACACGCACACACACATATAAACACGCACATTTTTCACATATAGCCCACCGTTCCTTTCATTGCTATTTCGGTACCACTTGCCATGTGTTTGGATGAATGAAAATGCAAATTGATTTCTACGCTTACCAATAATTTCCTTTGGAGGCGGCGCGGGCTTGCCCTGCGCTTGCTGCCCCTCATCCTGTTGTTCTTCCTGGGCCAGCGGCTGCTGTTGCTCAATGGGTAGCTGCTGCTGTTTTTCCGAGTCTGCCATCTTTCTAGCTACGTTCGTTGTTCTTCTATCTCAAACGTACACACACACCTACACTCTCAAGCTTCCAAAAATAAAAGCAAGAATAAATAAAGTACCCTCTCCTGCTGTTTTGTACACGGAGTGCGGCAAAACTTTCGTCTGCTGGTTGCCGCAACTTTGTTTTTTCTTGAGTTGAGTTTTTGGTTGCTATTTTCAATTAATCGGCTGGTGTTGGTAAAAGTGCGGTTCGAGTTGTGGCACTCTTTCAACTACCACTTTGATGTTATTTTCGAGTGTGATGTTAAAACACTCACTCGCAGGGTTTTCTTGGCGATTCTATTTTGTTCGCAAGCACAGGAAGTGAAACATGGCAGCTATAGTAAGTGTTGTACAATTTTTCGATTGCTCTAGCACATAGTTGCTTGTGTCGTATCGATATGTGTCAAGTATCGCGTGACAGCACGAAATGAAGTGTTTTCATATTTTGCCGAGCTGCTTATTCAATAGTTATATCGCACTTCTGTCGATATACGTCGATAGACCTAACCAAGCATTCATTAGAGTCATTTCGATCTGCTGTTTATTTCATAAAGCTCTTGGACAATTTGTTTATTGGTTGCAGAAGAAAGCTAAATACCGTTGGAATATGTGTATACACTTTGAAAACATGTTTGCATATAGAAACTGTTGTCAATAAATGTTTGGAGCTATATTATGGCCAACAAACTGCAATAGTGTTTTAAAGTAACAGAATTGTGCTTATTGGATAAGTAAGTGATTTAACGAACAAAAACTATGGTGAGGTGTTAGCTTTATCAAATCTTTGGACGTGTACTTTAAAAAGGAATGTTTACATGCGCTTTAATTGCTTGCTGGTCAATTAGCTGGAAAGTGGAGGTGACATCGGCGATTTGCCGTCACATCGTATGATTCTCGCGCGCAATCTGATTGGTCGAGAGGCGCTTTTCACGTTCATAATCGTGTGCATGCGTTGTGTATGTGTGTGTTCTCATATGTGTTTGTGTGAGTGTGTATTTATTTGTTTTTGTTTGTGGCTGGTGTTATTGCGCCGCTTTGAAATAGAAATTTCATAAACAAAACAATGATTACAGCATAACAATACCCTACAAGCAATAAATTCTATACTGGGGTAACATGGTTTTCTTTTAGTGTCAGTCTATTATTAAATTATTTAATTATGTAGTTTGTTAATTGTTATGACATTTAGGGTATCTAGCAGTCGATCATTAACAAAAGTTTTTATATATTAGCAGCGTTAACGGACAATCAAAACAATAAACACGTCAGCTGAAAGAATTTCGACTATGGACATCGATCCAGCTTCATTGGACATGGAGTTCATGTCCAATACCATGGACATGTGGAAAGAGGAGGAGGATGCTTTGAGTATCATCAAAGAAATGATACCCTCTGATATGCTGAACACGTTTCTAAATGAAATGGACTTAGATTTGGATATGAACAATTCAACGCCGTTACTCGATTGCGCCTTGGACATGCAACAGCTACCCCAGCAATCGCCACCACTGCAGCAACAGCAACAACAACCACCACCACAACAACAGCAACATGTGAAAATCGAGCACGCTTCTCCGGTACACATCAAGGAGGAGTTAGTCTCGCAGCAGAGCAATCTATTCGACCCGCCCTTGTATAAAACGGATCCGCTCATTGCTTCAAACTCAAACTTTAACTCGCAGGTATTGCCCCAGCTGCTGAAGCCACAGCCTACGACGACCATTCATCATATGGACAGCAACCAGCGTTTACCGCTGGCTTCGCCCGCTCCAACCATCTTGTATACGACCGCTAGCAACAATGATTTTGTCTATCAGCTACCGGAAAGCTCATCGCCGGCACCAACCTCACCAGTAGCGTCACCATCGACGTCTACTTCGGCAAAGGCTTCGCATTATGCCAATAAGAAAATGCCGCCCATGCTACCGACTGTTAAGCAAAATTTTCTACTACAGGCGCCTTCTGTGAGTCCGGCCACAACGCTTATGTACACCGGGAGCAATGCAACCATACTGACAGCTGCACCAATGCCCGTGCTGCTCGAGACCATTGCACCGGCTGCCAGTCCGAAAACGACATCAAAGACATCGACTGTAGAGCTGGCTCCAGCACCAGCAGCCGCATCGGTCCCATCCGTAACGCCAGCACCTGCTGCTAAGGTCGCCATTCAGCGCGTGCAGCCAAAGGTGAAGGAGGTGAAACGCTCGGCCCACAACGCAATTGAGCGACGTTATCGCACCTCAATAAACGACAAGATTATCGAGCTGAAAAATCTCGTTGTCGGTGATGCGGCCAAGCTTAACAAATCGGCTGTGCTGCGCAGGTCTATTGAAAAGATACGCGACTTACAGAAACAGAACTATGACCTCAAATCTGAGTTGCAGCGCCTGCAACGTGAGATAATGGCACGTGACGGCTCAAAGGTTAAGGATCTACTACAGCTGGGCAACAGCAACAGCAGCAGCAGCACAATTGTGAACTCCACAACATCGAAGAAACGTCGCCAACAATCCACATGCGATACGGATGCCGGTTTGACTCCGCCAAGGAGCGATATATCCGATCCGTCGTCATCGCCGCTGCATTCGGATATTTCGTTGCCGCCATCACCATACGGTGGCTCCACAGGCAGTTGTAGCAGCAAGGATGAGGTGATGGTGGTGCCAAGCTCTATGCGAGGCATGGCCAATCATTCCCGGCTGGCGCTTTGCATGTTTATGTTTGCCGTCTTGGCAGTTAATCCCTTTAAAAAGCTCTTGCAACACAGTCAATTTGGGTTGGACTCCAATGATTTTGACGACAACGATCTAGGTGGCGAGGTGAGCCGTCAAAGGCGCAGCATTTTGGCTTACGATGGTAAGAAAAAAAAACAAAGCATTCTGTAAAAAAAATAACATATTGAACAATTGTAATATTTCAGATAACACGGACTACATTGGCTGGCATCACAGCTCTTGGTTATGGCTTTTGAATCTGGTCTTTATGCTTGGCTGTTTGGTGAAGGTCTTGGTGTATGGTGATCCCCAGCTGGATGTGCAAACGGATGCCTACTATCAGCACAAGAAACGGGCCGAAACTCACTTTGCACAGGGCCAGCATGCGCAGGCCTATGCCGCTTATCTGAACTGTCTGCACATGTATGGATTAAGTTTGCCGACGTCCCGCCTAGAATGCCACCTGAATACCTTTTGGCAGTTTCTACGCTTTTTATTCCATCGACTCTGGTTGGGTCGGGTGCTCTCTCGTCGTGCTGGAGGACTCTTTTGCAATGCAGCGACACGCAAGCGTGCTTTGTCCTCGGCACGGGAACTGGCTTTGCTTTACAACCGCTTAAACCAACTAAATTTGACGGGTGATCGTAGCAACGATCGTAATGGAGTTATGCTGGCTCTCTGCGCTAGCAACATGGCGGAGGTGGCACACAATTTGCTAACCCCACGCGAGACCATTTGCATTCATGTAATGACAGCCCTGCGGATGAAGCGAAGTGCACCCAAGTGGTTCCAACAGCTCTTCGCCCGCTACTACATGAGTCGAGCACGCCAGGAATGTGGACGCACTCGTGCCGCCGAGCAAACCCAAGAGCTTCGCTGGGCATTTACCACCTATGGATATGGCTATTGTAGCGCGCATGTTTTCAATTACGAACTCAGCGCTGGCGAACAGGATGGCTTCTTCACACGCTTGCGCAATCCCTGCGATCCAGCTGCATATGCCATTAAGGTAAGGACGCATTGCTTTTATAAATTATTTGTGGCTAACTATTTTTATTTTACAGCAATATCGCGAGCATTTGCTGTACAAGGCAATTCAGTGCTTGGTGGGCGCCGGGTCACATAGACAAAACAAAGCAACGCCTAATAATAACAACAACAACACTGGCAGCGAGGCAGAGCAATTGCAGCAGCAACATAGCGGTACCATCGTAAGCAATGTGCTGAAGTACACCTCCCTGTTGCGGGATACTTTATGGGCCGACGAGGATGAGCGCGACACCAATGTTGTCTGGTGGGCCAATGTCCTCGAAATTGCTGTGCACTGGCTGTTAGGAGAGGACACGCTGGCGGAAAAGTTGTACGATAGCATAAAGCAGTTGCCAACGGAACTGCAGCACTGTAGCGACAATGATCAGCTGCCGAAAGCACTGCATGCAGTGCTACGCGCCAAGATGATATTGCTCATGTATGTGATGCGCACTATAACGATTATATGTAATTAATATTCTTCGACTTGCAGGAACAATGGCAACACTTTGGATAAACGCCTTAAGCATTCGATCAACCGCCTTTGCGATGAGTCTAGTGCCCAACTACAAGAATGCCTTACGGTCAATCGCATCACCAATGCAAAGGGCATTAAATTGGTAAGCTGGAGCACTGCCCCTTTTATGCAGCATTCCGACATCTTTGGAGCTGTGACGGAGGTGCATTGTAGTCGCATTGTCTGTATACTTTATTCTCTGCGGCAATACAACTGCAGTGCAAGCTCCGTGCAGTTCACTCGCAACGTCGGACACCTTAGAGTAAAGATAATGTGTGTTATCAAGATGATTAATGAAATATTATTGATTTAGCTGTTCCAGTTGCTGACCTGCGATTGGTTGCTAGAGACACGCACGGCCTTGTGGGAGCTGGAACACATGGGCATCGATGACGATGGCTTCTATCAGGTACCTGGAGACGTGCTCGAAAAGTTCCAAACAGATTTGAATTCACTGCGCAGCATTGTTGAAAATATACCGGTAAGCAAGTGGGAACACATCTAGAGAATCACAGAGTAATTATTTATTATATTCATTCACAGAACGCTCAGTCGCGTATTTACTTGTATGAGGCAGTTTGCCGCCTAATGGCCGGCGCCTCACCATGCCCCACACAGCAGCTACTAGACAGAAGTCTGCGTTCGCGCAATGCCCAATCCTCCATCTTTTGCGGCAGCAAAGATCGACGACATCAGAACTTTGAGGGCGGCGAACGGGAGCGAGCAGCAGCCATGTATGTGGCCTGCAAGTATTTGCCACCTGCACTGTTAAGTTCGCCGGGCGAGCGTGCTGGTCTATTAGCCGAGGCAGCTAAAACGCTAGAGAAAGTGGGCGACAAGCGCAAGCTAAAGGAATGCTATCAACTTATGAAGTCACTGGGCAACGGCGGAGTAACCGTTAAGGCTTAAGCTACATGAAGTTCAACTGAAAACTAAGCTAATCCCAAATGTTCACACACGGAAAAGGGACAACTTAAAGAGAAAATTGTCTCAAGCACGCATCAATTGTTTTACTGTACACAGCATATACCGGATGACACGGTTGAAGCTTACTTTACTACAATCCCCACGCTTTATACCTGCTATATAATTTCTATTTAGTTAGTAATTATTATTATTCACAATTTGTTTAAACGATATGTTTACTCGCGATAATGGTTACCACATATATACACACACACATATACATATATATAAATATGAATACTTATTTAAATAAATATGTCATTCATGCAGTTAATAGATCAAATTACCTTGGCACATTAATTTTAAATCGTTTAACATTGACTATGGCTTCATTTAAATGGAATTTATGTAAAAATATCATTTATAAGACGTATCTAAACATTTAAAAAATCTAAATTTTCTTTAACTTAAATTTATATCGTTTCATCAATGAAATCGCGTTTGGTTTAAATAAATAATTTGATTATTGTAAGTAAGAATATTTATATATGAAATGGTTTCATCTCGTTTTGTTTTCTATACTTTCCAATACATATATATTTAAAAGATCGCCCCTTTAAATAAGTTTAAGTTTACTACCTAATGTTCGGCCACAAAATTGGCAGTCGAATATGCTTATTTTAAAAAATTTATAAATTGTTTTTTATTTTCTAACATAGCTAAAACTATGAGCTACAAAATAATTAGTTTAAAAAATATTATGATATAATTTGTACTAAATATATCAAAGTATATGTTTTGTTTTGAATTTAAAATAAATTACTAAACATAATAACTACAATATAGATAAATAGTTTTCATAAATAAATGTTTTTGATTTTGTAGGATTCCAACTAATTAACTATTCTATATCCAGGGTTTCTAGCTTGAATTTATATATTTCTCTGAATGCTTTCTAAATATTTGATTAGCAATTATTTGATAACAAGCTATAATTCCACCATGGATATGTAATTTAGCCTTCAGTGGCAACCTCTCCGATGACTATATAAAGCAATAGCTTGGCTTTTATAATAACACAGAACTAGATGTCAACATGTTGGAACCAAATTATTGGTCCACTGTTTTAAGTTTTCTCGGTAAATTTCGTTTCTTATGATTGAAACTAATTGTTGTTTGAAATTATTGAATTTAGCACAACAATATTTGATGGACTCACATGCCACTTGTCTGTTGTGGCACTCTGCGTTCGATATACAACTGAGGACAGCGGAGCCACTGGCGTTGCTCATTTTGGAGCCTGAGAAATGGTTTATCCCAGGCCATGACAATGACTTTTATAACTATGAACCAAAGCGTTTGGATTTCGAGGAGCATAATTTGCCCTACAACGATTGGATCTTGCGGGTAGCGGTGGCCATCGAGCAAACGCATTGCGAGGTAAGTCCTTCAGAGCCAATTTAAGCCTGGAATCGTTGGCTTTGTATGGCGATCGGGTGTACACAGCGAGCAAGCGGTGCCAAGCCAATCCAATTGCAGTAATTGCGAATTTATAGTATTACTTAACTAAATAAATAGAAAAAATAGAAATGCTGTGCTTAGTTTAAAAGCAAATAGCTTTATATGTTCGATAACTCCACCTGGTTTTGTGTTGCTTTCGATGTTGATAGCTCTAGCGTCAACATCAGCGGGCGGCGTGCTGCATTTGATGCCTGTTCGCGCAGCTCCTCTTGTAAGGCGATTAGAAAGCTACTCCATTCCTCAAGTCCCCAGCGCTTGCCCAGCTTCAAGTGTTGGAGCTTTGTGCACTTGGCAACTACGTCCACCAATTGCATCATGCTAGCTGGAGACTCAGTGCACTGTAATGCCAAGCACTCCAGTTGTTCCAATTTGCTTATGTATCCAAGTAGTGTGGCCGGCCACATGTAGCAGGTGAGCGCTTTCAGATTTTGAAGCATTACTATATGCTCGACGTACTCCCAATTGACCTTCGTTAGCTGCAGCTGCTCCAAACGGTTCGCATAACGCATAGCCAATGATCGAAAGAGCTGACTATTCACACAAATTGTCAAACGCCAAAGCAACCTGAGAGACCTCAGTCTGGGAAAGTCACCCACATCCTCCAGCGTTCCTTCAAAGTTTTCCAGGGACAGATGCTCCAACAGCGGGCAATGGGCAGCCAGAGGCGGCAACTGACGCCGCGAAACAAAACGTAGCGAAAGTCGACGCAATCCTGATAAAGCCTTAAACTGTTCTATGATGTCCTTGTCTTTTAACTCTGCGTCGAAGCCATCAATATGCAAAGCCTCTAATTCAATAAAGTTGTGCAGCTGTAGAACTGTTGAAGAATGGGAAATGTGCTATATAGACTCATTCGTCGCTATGTACATAATTGAGTTGAGATTCTGATTCTTATACTATTCAGTTTATCGTATATAGTTTCTTTGCTAACTAATTTCGTGTTCTTTGCGATTCTCAAAAATTTTAGTTCTTAGACATGGATCAAAAGTATAAATACTAGTTAGCATTATTGTTGATTTAACTATTAGGTCTCTTAGCAATTTATATCTATAAGTATTATTAAAACTTGATTTTCATTGAATTAAATTTAATTCTTTGACACTCAAGTAATGAAAGCTATGTTTACTGCAACAATTGACTCTTTGAACTACACAAGCTTAATGAAATTTGCGTATAAAACTACGATACAGCATGTCTTTTATGTCTCTACAATATTTAATAATATTTACCATCAGCTGCCTTAGCGTCGATTAGGCTGAGGCTATGCAGATTCTTACGTTCAAGCACTTGTAAAATATTTAGATCCCCCTCGGCCGGTGGCTTTAGATCGGAATGCGCGAATATGAGATGCAAATGCCTCAAATTCTGGCAGTGTGAGTTTAGGAGGCACATGAACGGTTGAGTGATATTATTGTCCCAGCGTCCATGGCGCAGCTCGCACTCGAGCACACAGTCACCGCACAGCTTTAAGAGATATTCCCAATCGGAAAGGCATTTCAGCATCCGCATATTTATCTTAACAAAACGACGAGGAGCGTCGCGTGCCAAGACTTCGCGAAATTGCGAATGTGCTCGAGCTAGATTTAATTTGTCTTCGAGCGCGGTCAGATACGAGAATATATGCACATAGCAATCGTAATTTAAATCCAATATATTTGTTTTCATTCGGTGCGGTTTGCTGGCTAGAAATGCCAACGGACAGGCCAATCCAAACTTCTCCATTGTTTACAATCGGTTGTTAGGGTGACGCACGTTTTTGATTTATGGCCAAACAGTGTGACCAGCAAATTGCAAACATGATTTTATTATCAAAAGGAACTGCAATATTGCAAATATTTATGCAGCATTGGCTGTAAAAAAAAAAGGAGTAAAAATGAGCTTTTGATTATTTATATACATTTTGTGGTCCTTAATTTTAATACTTAATTATGCGTTTATTTTCTTAATTTACAGAGCTTTCTAGTATTTCAGGAGCATATACCGCAATTTATTCGTAATTTTTATAAAGCAAGCACGTACTCAATTTGGCGGTCGATTCAAAATCATTTTATCTTTGTGTACACCGATGAGTTGCTTAAAAAGCCGAATGAATCCGATAGTTATCTGAATGGCTATCTATTTTTTGGTAAGCTGATCAAAACTTTGCTATTTTTCCTGGAACTTTGGCTTTTTCTCCTCGTTACAGACCAACCGAACATTCTTTTGGTCAACGCCCAGCTTCGTAATTCGAGTATATTTGAAATTAAAACCAATCGCTTTGCTGGATCCCGATTTGAGAGTAAACCACAGTTTTATACACAGCATATTTATGATGCCCAAGCCGAAAAGGTTATATGGAATAGTGCTGAAGATTTTTCAAGTAAAATGAAAAACTTACAAGGACGTGAAGTTGTGTTGGGCCTATTTAATTATGAACCATTTATGCTGCTTAGCTATGTAAGTGGTATAATTATTATATATGGTTTTTTTCCTAGATCTTTATAGGTTTATTTATTCAGGAAAAGCAGCCAGCAATGTTCGATCGCGCTTCCAATAAAACAGTGGCGCATGCAGATGGCACCGAAGTCCGTGTCATACTCACTTTCTGTGAAATTTACAATTGCACTCTGCAAATAGATACAAGTATGTATGTATTTAGATTGATTGCAAGCTTCATATGAATTGACGACCCACTAAGCAAACGATGAGCACTTCTACTGATAATCAGCAGATCAGAGAAATTACTGATTAAATTGTAATGCAGCACTGCCCTTTTATAGCTGACACCACACCACTCTACTCAAGTTGAGCTCAGAAAGCTACAAGTGCACTCAAAGCGGAGCGCTACGACTGTCAAAACTTTTTGTAGCGAACGCACCTTCTCTTTAAATAGAGCTCATTGATCGAGTGCTAGATCGCTGCTCATTTCTCATTAGAATTGCCAAGCGAAGAGAACGATATTTGAGTCTACACTTATACATACATATACATATGTTTCATTTATATATCAACTGTTATCCACAGGCGAAAAATCCGAGTGGGGCGATCTCTATCCAAATGGAACAGGCGTTGGGTTGATGGGCATGGTGGTGGACAGAACAATTGATTACGCCATAGGCGGCTTGTTTATGTGGTACGAAGTCTATAAGCAAATGGATATGACAAGTTTTCTTGGACGTTCTGGTATAACATGTTTAGTGCCAGCGCCACGTAGAATTATTAACTGGGCTTTGCCGCTGCAGCCATTCCAGGCCAAGCTGTGGCTATGTGTCGTCCTTTGCCTTTTCTTAGAATGCCTAGCTCTAGCCGGCACACATCACTGCGAGTTTTCAGCTTCAGAGCCGCGCTGGCGAAAGAGTTTGCGCTTCGCTTATGTGAGCACGCTCAAGTTGTTTGTTAACCAGAGCACCCATTATGTGGCCAAATCGTATGCCCTCCGCACTGTCCTGCTGGCGAGCTATATGATCGACATAATCTTGACCACCGTTTATGGTGGGGGATTGGCATCCATACTGACGCTTCCGAAACTCGAGGAAGCTGCTGATTCGCGGCAACGACTCTATGAGCACAAGATGACCTGGACGGGAACATCTTATGCCTGGATAACCACTATTGATGTTAACAATGATGACGATGTGAGTCAGAATGTGATGTTTGCTCTGCGAGCTTTTTCACCATTTAGCATTTATAGCCCGTCTTACTGGGAATCTTGGAGCACTATCGTGTAAATGATGCAGTGACCATGGCCGCAAAGTCTCGCACTGTAGAGATGGGCTTTGTGGTCGAGCGAATGCTTTTTGGGCACGTGGCAAACGCTGAATTGATTCCTGATAATGCTTTGCCGCGACTCAAACTAATGGTGGATGATCTCTACTTTTCCTACACAAATGCGTACGTTCCTCGCTTGTGGCCATTTTGTGGAATTCATAATGACTTCACGCTCGCCTGGCATTCCTCCGGATTTGACAAGTACTGGGAATGGAAAATCGTGGCTGACTACATGAATGCGCATAGGCAAAATCGCATTGTATCCTCGAAAAGACCCAACTTTGATATTGGACCTGTTAAGCTGGGCATTGAAAATTTTATTGGCTTGGTCATGTTGTGGTGCTTCGGCATGTCCTGCAGTGTGGTGGGATTTTTGCTCGAGTTGTGGTGGCTTGATGTTAAGAACTAATTTATTATAACCGAAATAAAGTCTCACATATTAGTAAGTTAAGCTTAGCTTTGCAACAGCAACACCTGATCGGTGACTCGTGTGATTAGTGCATCCAATTCATTATTTGGTAACTCCTTCCAGAGCTCATGCAATGTGTTATGGGCTAATTGGACTGGAGTTCCAGCATCTGTCGTCAGATGAGTGCGCAGTGTCAGAAAGATGACAACATCCGGAGCGATAGGACTATAGGTGTCGCAAATTGTGTGCAGAGCACGTGCCGCATTTGGAGGTATCTATGATTGAGAATCGAAATAGCTTAATAATACAAAAGACTATCAAAAATGTTAAACCACTACTCACATCATTTAGATCGACAATAAGAAAAACGTTGCCGTCTCTGATTTTCTTTTTGTACTGTTCAATGGGAAACCCGTAATCGTCTCCGGTCTGCGTTTCGAAATCCTTTAAGCTCATCTTTACAAGTGCCTTTTCATCTATTAAAAAAGGATATATAATTCCAATTTATTTAACTTGTAATTCGCATTTGCTTACTAAAACACTTGGACGTTTCCAGTGCTATATCGTTAACCAATTTTTGCATTTCATACTCGTTGCTTTCATTCGTGTACAAAAACAAGTAAACATTGGGCGACTTGCTCTTCTTGTTTAACATATCTTCAATGTTGCACCTCAGCGCCTTCCACACATCCGTTGATTGCGAAGGAGCGCGCTGTTTCAAATCCGCAAATGTACAGGTTTTCACTTGCGGCTCCGACTTGTAATATTGTGAGTAGACAATAAGCGGTAATATGATAATAATAGAATATTTCATTAACTGAGATGGTGAAAATGATTTCATTATTAGCGGTGCTGTTGCTAGTGGTTTTGTCTCTGGTCGTCGTTGAAGGCTTGTCTCTCGTGGTCGTTGCGCGGCTGTCCCTTGGGCTATTCTTGACCTTATTGCTTGTGCTGTTTGCGGATGTGTTTGATTATGTTGTATTGATGGCGTCCCGCAACTTTGATCCATTGGATCGTCTTCATTCGAATCTGTCTCCATGCCTTCTTCATTTATTGGTTCATTATTCGATTCATCGAATTCATTTTCGTCGTCATTCGCATTCATATTTTTCCTATAGCTATCAGGACGTGGACTTTTATTTAACAAATTTCTAGTGGGTGACCCGGAGTCACCAAGTTCCCGATTGCTATATAATGGACGCCTGCTTGTCATTTTAATCCGATTGTAATATAATAAAATCAATCGGCCGGAAAAGTAATTTTTGCTTCTAGAGCTCAGTATGCTCAATCTAACAGAATGTCAAACTAACAGAGAGTATAACATAAAATACTTGTATATGTTAATGCGTTAAATAAAATTACTCAAATGTACAAGTATACAATGAAGATGAATTTAAAGTCCCTGAGTCGTTTTATACAAATAAACGGAGTTAATTGTCTAATAAATATACAATAGAGAATGTGCTCACTAACAAGTTATTGGTTTGCTGTCAACTCTTAAAATATCATAATGTAGCGTTAACATTCCGCTAGAATCCCTTTCAGTGTTTAACAACACTGTAAGAGTAATATTATTTTCATTTTATTTTTATTTTTTTGAATGACGACATAAAACAAGTAATTAATATATGTATATAATATGCCCTGGTGTGAAAAACTAGTCTTCCACAGACTACATTCTACATTTATTAATATCTTAAAAGCCGAGACCACAGAATTTGCCCAATAAATATTTACATTATCTACATACATATTCTATTAAGAATAGGTAATTTACAATTATCCTATAGATAAAAAATTTGTGCACTATTTCACTCGGTAACCGGCGGTACCGTATTTAATGTTAAACGTCTGAGTCGACCCAGCACAAAAATTTCATCGATTGCCCGTTTGGCATAGAACTTTTGATCTTCAGTAAGTTTTCGGTATTCCAAAGACCAAGTTTGTGCGTAAATTGCCGACTCCTCAGCCCCACTCACGTCGTGGGATACAAAGACTTCAGAAAGACGTGAACTTGGAATTGGAATGTTTGCAGCACCAACATTTAATGGATCATCGTTAGATTTAGATGGTTGACCGAATGATCCAGTGTCCCCACAACTATCGTTTGGATCAGCGCCAACACCAGCACTCCGGCGAGCCATAAAGGCAGCAACGTCCGTTGATGTAGGTTTCTTGTCCAACTCATCACTCGTTGTCTGTGCGTCGCAACTCTCTTCGTTGTCCACTTTAAGTTCGGACTCAGCTTCCAGTAAAATGTCTTCCACTGACATTTCCCCTTCGTCGTCTTTGAACCATTCCTTTGAGCTGTTTGCGTCTGAATATCCATGACAAAACGTCTGTTTTTTTAAATATTGCAAATGACATTTGTGGCGCCTCAAATTTGTGGTTGATTTATGGGTAAAGGACATTAGATTTTTACATCCAGTGCAATACAAGACGTGTTCCAATATTTTGCCATCCTCCTTCTCAACCTTTCGATACACTCGCCAAACAGTACTTCGTGTGCTTTTATCATTTGTCGCTAACTTATATATTCCATTTTCAATTTTATCACGTATATCTTCGTGCTTGGTGGCCATAGGCAAAGTTCTCAGATTTGTTATTTAGACAAATTTGTTATTATTTCTACCAAATTGTTAGTCCACATAGGGATGATAACTTTCGTATTCTTATTAGTATGCAACTATCGATTATTTGAAACTATTTTTGATGATCATGATTATATTGAGAAATGTACCATAAAAATGTAATAAACTAGTTGGAATCTCTAGCCAGAAAAAAAAGTGTGCAAAACGCTTTACACTAAGTGTCCCGTCTATGTGTTCTCTGGTTAGTATCGGAATCTGGAATAATAAAAATTAGACAATCCACTGTTGTATATAAAAATGAAAATTGACAAAAATATCGGCAAAGATACCCCAACCTCAACAATGTGGCAACACTGTTAAAACGCACATTGTGCCGGCTAAGTTTTTGTTTTTTATTTTATTAATTTGATAAATATTACTCAATTTTTAAAATTCGATGGCTGTTTCATGCTTTGACTTTTTGGGCTTTCAAGTAAGTGACAACATTTAAACAAAATAAATGCACTATCCATTCAAAAAAGTTGTGCCATTCATAATAGGAGGCTCTAAAGAAGATGCGCGATGTAGATGATAAAATTATTTACGCTCTTAATGCTCTGCCTACGGAATCTTTCAAGGGTCAAGTGAATAGTGAAAGCACGTGCCGGGATCTGTACACTAAACTGCAGCAATCACATCTCGCACGGGTAAATACAAAACTTTTTATTGCATATTTTCACAAGTCCACAAGTCTGATTCCCTAATCCGGACAGCAAACAAATATACGCAATTGCATAACCTTATCAGCGGCAACATTGAAGAAGCTTCGCGAGCAAAGGGAGGCACAGCCAGATGATGTGGACACCGATAGTAAATTCAAGGCTGAGCAGCGCAAGGTATGTTTTAATTTTCTTTTAATTTTGCTTGTCGTACTAAAGACCATATTATCTTGACAGCTGAGGGTGCTGCAAGCGGAGCTTAATGTGGAAGATATAATTAAAGAACGGAGTTACAAGGCATTTAATGAACGTTGCAGGAATTATTTTCATGCTGGCGAATAAATATTTTGTTTGATGCAATACCATATGACAGATGAAGTTGTCAGCTTGCAATGAAGGCAGTACACTAAATTTGTTAGTTGTAAGTAAAATTATAAATAGTATGCCATCATCAATTACTGCCTAGCTATTTTTTACGAATTGGTGCTGTTTACAAGCATCTGTATGTATCTTTATTTTTGAAAATAAATACATAACTCAATGCAATTCAATTGAAAACATTATTTTCCATCTGGCAGGTTGTATATTTTATGCATGTCTTTCATAGGTAGTCCTTTTGCGTGTGCTAAGACTCCCAGCACTGTTTGGGTTGCATCCTTCAAATTGTTGTATTCGTGCAGAAGTTGCATATGTTTTTGTTTTTGTTGCTGCAAATCGACTTCAGTTTTTGGTTGTTGATCTTTGGATGTATTCATTGTTGGCGCAATTTTATTTTAATGTTTTGCTGATATCGATATTGAGGCTTACTATGTTGCACAATCAGCTGTAGTGCAATCAATTTAGTCTGGCAACCTTATACGCCCATCTAAAAACGTGTGGCGTATCGTGACAAAAATTTGCATTTGTGTTTTGTGCTATAAATAGACCTTTCAAATTGGCAGTAATACAGGTAAAGTGATAACAAATGGTGCTGTAACTTAAAGCCAGTGTGTTTGAACTCAAAACAAATGTTATATACCGCGAATTGTGCGAAAGTAAGCAGCGTTTGCAGAAGCTGACCTAAGCCCATCGCACACTCACATATACACATTACGCACACGCTGATACACGCCTACACATATATATGCATGTTTGTATGTATCAATAATTAAAATGTGAAAGTGATTGTTGCTGTGCAAATAGAAAAGTGCTTATAAACTGCATAAAAATATTTTATTAACGAGCAACATTTAGAAATACCTGTTCATTGCAATATTTTCATCTTACACTGAACTCCTCATATAAACAGCATAAGCTGGCAACCCTAAGTGGAGTAAAAGGAAGGTGCAAGTAAACGTAAATGCGAGAGTGGTCGACGCAGTTATACTCTATAAGTAAGGTCAATTCATATGTACATATATTCGTGTATAACTCGAGTATATGCCACCCGTCCATGTAGGAATTGTATAATAACATGCGTGATGCATATGATTCGTACTCGTTGCATTAGTATGCGCAAGCTTTTGAATTCACAAAACAATTTTGTCATCATGTAGGCACTGATTAGGACTCCGGTGTAAGTCACTTATCATAATTACAAATCCACAGAACTTAAATAAAAATTGTGACCTGTTAAATAACAACAAAATTTTCTAAATCACATATATATGTATATATATATATATATATATATATATATATATATATATATATATATATATATAATATATATATATATATATATATATATATATATATATATATATATATATATATATAGAAGTATATTATTTTTAGTCTTTCACAGAAATAATAGTTACAGACATAAAATGTCCACCACACATAAACATCGCTATAAAAATGTCGCTCTGGATTCAACAGAGATGCGTCGCAGACGCGAAGAAGTTGGAATACAGTTGCGGAAAACAAAACGAGAACAGCAGCTCTCAAAACGTCGCAATGTTGTTCTGGACTCAACACCGGCGACCACAAGCGCCGGTAGCAGCGGCAGTGGCGAAGTCCAGCTGCACAGCAGTGACATGCACATGGCAGACAGTAGCGGGCAGGGTCTGGGAGTGGGTGTGGCCGTGGACGGAGTGCAAGCGCATGGAGCCGGTCAACAGGAGGCCTCTGGCCAACAGCCAATTATTGATGCAGAGATGATACAAATGCTCTATAGCGATAAAGAGAGTGATCAGCTGGAAGCTACACAAAAGTTTAGAAAACTACTGTCCCGTGATCCAAATCCCCCAATCGAGGACGTAATAGAGAAAAACATTGTGCCACAATTTGTGACCTTCTTGCGCAACAACTCCAATGCAACACTACAATTCGAGGCGGCCTGGACATTGACGAACATTGCCTCAGGTACCTCACACCAAACAAAGATTGTTATTGATTCCGGCGCAGTGCCCGTATTCATTGAGCTGCTGTCGAGTCCTCATCACGATGTACAGGAGCAGGCTGTATGGGCATTGGGTAACATAGCTGGTGATTCACCGGCGTGTCGTGATCATTTGCTTAATTCTGGCATTTTATTGCCACTACTGCAGTAAGTATTTAGAGCCAAAAGAATTGTCTTTCATTTAAATTTTATAACTTTCTTTTTGATTTTGCAACAGTGTGCTGAGCACTTCGGACCGTATTACTATGGTGCGGAATGCCGTTTGGACGCTTTCAAATTTATGCCGTGGTAAAAATCCTCCGGCTGATTTTTCTAAAATTGTGCATGGCTTACCCATACTTGCGCGCTTACTGCACTACACGGACGCAGATGTGCTTAGCGATACGTGTTGGGCCATTAGCTATCTATCTGATGGGCCAAACGACAAAATTCAGGCCGTGATTGACGCGGGTGTCTGTCGGCGACTCGTCGATTTGCTACTGTATGTTAAGTTGATATATATTATGATGATAACTAAATGTCTGCACTTGTAGGCATCCCCAACAGAACGTGAGTACGGCGGCACTGCGCGCTGTTGGCAATATTGTCACCGGCGATGATCAGCAAACCCAAGTGATATTGAGCTATAATGCCTTGCCGTGCATCAGTCTTTTGCTATGCTCAACGGCTGAAACAATTAAGAAGGAAGCGTGTTGGACCATTTCAAATATTGCGGCTGGCAATCGCGAGCAAATTCAGGCAATCATCAATGCTAACATTTTCCCTCAGCTAATGACCATAATGCAAACAGCAGACTTTAAAACACGAAAAGAAGCTGCCTGGGCAATAACTAATGCAACCAGTAGTGGAACCGCAGAGCAAATTAATTATTTAGTACAGGTCGGCTGTGTGCCGCCAATGTGCGACTTTCTCACTGTAGTGGATTCGGATATTATTCAAGTAGCTTTGAATGCTCTTGAGAATATTCTGAAAGCCGGAGAAAAGTTTCAAGTGCGACCAAATCCTTATGCAATAACCATTGAAGAGTGCGGTGGTATGTTCAAGTGATTTTGCGAAGTGAATCAAAACAATTATTAATTATTAATGTACATTTAACAGGTCTCGACAAAATTGAATATCTGCAGGCACACGAGAATCGCGATATTTATCATAAATCATTCTACATTATTGAACAATACTTTGGCAACGAAGAGGAGGACACGCGTGTGGCGCCCGTTGCTGGCAGTCAGCAGTATGAGTTCAATCCGCAAAATCAGCCTAATAATGGATTTAATTTCTAGCATGACAAAAAACAAGCACTGCAAATTAAACCGTTCGCAAATGGTAATCTCCCAGATGAACCGTGAAAGTAGCATCAGAATGTCTGTAGAGAGGGCGTAGAAAGACATGCACTGACAACACCTCAGTGTGCAGTCATTAGCATTTAAGTCATAAGGGCCCGAAATTTAATTTACTTTTAGTACTTTGTTTGTTTTCTTTTGTTATATACTCCAATTATTATTATTTGCGAAAGCGTTCCAAAAATTCGATGTGTGCAGACGGTCCAGGACCGCAACTCGTGCATTTTAATCCAAATACGTTACGACACAAAAGATATAAATGTATATTGCGAAATGTACATTGTGTATGTGTATTTAAATGCATCTGTGGTCATATATATTATTAATCGATTTTTAGCTAGCTACATTAATAATCCCTATTTTTTGTATATGCAATGCTTCCTAATGCCTGTAAATATTTTCATTAAACATTTAAGTACATTTTTACGGATATATCTCCCATACTGAGTTCGAAGCCGGCTTTGGTGTTGTTATTTATACATATTTACGTATGTATACCTACATCTACAATATAATATATATTTATAACGATTAACTTGAAAAGTTTTGATTTTGTTAAGGAAAAAAATTGCAAATCATTAAATAAAATCAAATTTTCGTTTAACTTAACTTGTCAATAAAAAGGAATTAGATCAGAACGAATATAAACTCGTTATTTATTCTTTAACCTTTGCTGCTCTGTTTAAAATCATTTCGAAGGGACTCCCAAAGTTTTGAAAATAAGATGAACCAACTAATTCGCACAAAACAAACTAAAGCTAACTTTACAATTACATACAATGTTATGAATTCCCACATATCCTTGAAAACTCGATTATATGATAAATTAAAAAAAGTGGATATATTTTTTAAAATATCACAAAAATCTTACAACAAAATTCAGAATAAAAGTAATTATAAAAATACTAAAAGATGTGATCTTAGGGAATTTTTTGGTGTGCACTGGAGAAAGAAGCCTTTATTTATATGGGAAAAAGTCTTTAAAGCAAAGTAGCTGGTGATGCCTTTGAGCCAGAAGGTAGTTTAGTTAGCTAGTGTAAATTATAAGTTTGCTCTTAAATCGTGCGCTAACAGATTTAAGCTCGAGTACGATAAAAAGCTGAAATATACGCCTTAATTTCGTCATTAGCAATAAAAAAATTCCGATGGTATAGTATATGTATCCAGAATCGGAATTATCAATAATAGGAATGAATATATAAATATTTGTTCTTTTACATGTCCCGCTGCAATTTGAATAGACTTAAAAAGCTATCGAAATATTTCTATCGAAACTATCGATGGGAACTGTATAAGCACGACTGTTAAACTGGGCGGATTTTTCAAAAGCTCCAAAAAGCGATTTCTCGTATTTCTTTTATTTTAATACAACGTTTTTACTTATCTAAATAAACTTATATATCCATATGAAATATGTCAATCATTTCTCAAGATAAATGAGCTCAATTGCGCTTCACGAACTGCACTTTGTACGGCTTGGGCGTAAGTGTAATGCCAGGTTGTAAGATTAATGATGGTGTTTCGCCCTCTGGAAGGACAACGCGAAATTGCTGCACGATCCGCACAAGAAAGGAAAAAATGCAGGCCCGTGCCAAGGCATCACCTAAGCAACGGCGTCGACCCAGTCCGAAAGGCATAAAATATTCGTCCTTGCAACACTTGCCATTTGCATCAATGAAACGCTCCGGTCGAAACTCGAGTGGGTCACTCCAATGCTGCTCATCTAGATGCACTGAACGCAAGCTAATGAGTATAGTGGCATTCCTGGGTATGTCGAAGCCACCGAGTTTGGTGTCCCAGAGCGCACGTCGTGGCCCTGTTATGGGTGTTATGTGAAAGAAGCGCTGCACCTCCATGATAAAAGCTTCCATGTAGTAGAAAGATTCGCGTCGACTAAGATGTGGAAAAGAGTCGGTCTTGCTGTCAGCGGAGTGTAAATTTGCAGCCACTTCATCGTACAGCTGTGCCTGCAGATCCTTGCGCATCGCCAGCACCATCAAAGCCAAGTTGATTGTATTGCTGGTTGTCTGTGAGCCGGCAATAAAAAAGTCAAGTATTGTCATGACCAGCTGCGTCTCATTAAAGCTATCGGTGTCCTGGCGCTGGCTGTTCATCTCCTGCAGATAGGCAAAGATAAGATCACTTTCGGGTGCCTGCTCCCCACGCTTCTTGCAGTCCTCTATCCGTTGCCTGTGCTCCTTGATAGATTCCATGAAGAAGCCATGTAGCTCTGTGTTCAGCTGTCGGATCAGATTGTATCCCGTGTAGTTGGGCGCTACATGACGCAGCCAGGGGAACTGCGTCAATAGACCACCGCAGATATCGAACAGCTTGGATCGACGATTCATCAGGTCGAGCAATCGACGCAGTGTGCCATTCTCTTCTCTACTGATTCGCTCGCCAGCAATCAGGCACCAGAGTACATTAAGTACACTCTGAGCCAGCCAATTCACGGGCTCTATAGGCGCCCCCTCAGTCTGTGCGAGTTGCTGCATCAGCTCTTCTGCCTCATGCTCTATTTGCTGTTCCATTTGGCTGCGGCCATAGCCCACGTGGCGCATCTGTTTCATGGCAAAGTTGCGATGCTCGTACCACAGCTGCCCATCCGTGCACGTGATGCCCTTACGTGTGCCCATGGTGCGCAGGCGCAGAAAGAAGTTGTCCGGTCTACCCTCGAACACCTCCTGCAGCTGCACTTCACGCACCAGCTCATGCCCCAGCGCCACGACCACATAGTCCTGTCCCAGCTTTAGTCCGATCAGCGGGCTCTGATAGCGCTTCGCCCACTGCTCGAATAGTATGTGCTGACCACCAGCTGCTCGAGCCTCCCTGCGGAACTGCAGCGTATTGCCCAGCCAGGGCAAGAAGCCAGGTCCTGAAACGCAAAGCATGTTTTTATAGCCGATCTAATAAATTATTAAAAGCCATTAACCAAAACCCTGCATTCTCTTTGTAAATCAATTCTCTCTTTACTTTTCTTGCACGCATGTTTACAGCCAGCAACTGAGAGTTAAAGAGAGCGACTATGGTAGAGCGCATAGTGATGAAAAAGCATGTATTGCCGCTTCGTTCTTTCTCTCTCTTTGGTGTCCTAGGTGAATATGCTCATACATACACACAGATACATATGCATACATATCTAACACACCATCAACTTTGATTTTTATTAAAATCTAATAAGAGTAATTGGTAAGCAATGGTTGATTGAACGATTACTTAATTTTGTGAGCAAATAAACAATTGATAATTTGATTTCGTATTTACACAGAGCTTTATCTTAATCTTATCGTAAAACTATTTGCCACTACCGTAAATCTGTTAATCTACTCAGTAGCAAAAAAAGTCGAAAGCTAAAATCATATTCTTCCCAAGTTTACGCCTTATCAAATTATTAAGTTGTTATGTGTTGTGCATAGCACATGGTTAACTCCTATGGAGAAATAGAAGGACTTATAAAGAAAAACTATATTTATTACAAATTGTGCTTTAATTAATGCAGTTCATAGATGTACATTGCATACAAAAAAGGCCATGTAGAATTCGATGCCTAATTATTAATTCTAATATAATACGTTTTTCTCTTTATGGTTGCATAAGTAGATGAATTTGGGCTTGGAAAATGCATATGTAAATTAGTTATATGACAAGACACCCCACTCAAAATGTTAGACTGAGCTGTCAGCAATAGTCGTGCGAGCATTTTATACATGAAATCTATTTGAAATGCCAGACGCGTGTCGCCGTCGCCTTTGCGTTTGATGTGGGCTGTGGGCTGCCAAAGTTGTTCCAGTTGCCCATTTTGTAAGTCCAATTGAAAGTCCAGTTGGACCCGCTAAGCCTTTCTCAATTGCGAATATTTTCTCGTTGGATTCCTATTGCAAAAAGGCATCAACAAATTTGATACCAGATAAACTACTCTATAAACAATTAACAGTTTTCCATGCCTCAGAAGTAAAACAAAGCTACCGATTTGCTGACATGCACGTTTTTAAAGTTGCAAAAAACTGTATTTATTAGGAGTCTAATTAAGCTAAACTATTTAAATAAATTACCGTCGTTTGCAGCCTTGAAATGCAATAAACATTTAAAATTGATTTTCAGATGTGTGAATTGTGAATGTGTGTCCAGAGATTAAAACTTACCTCGTTTGTTCAATTAATTATTTTTGTTTTTTGTTATCAAACTTACCCGGCGGAAAATTGTGAGGACGTCTTATTGAATTTAACAGAGAGTATATTAAAAATCCAATTAAAATGGTAACCAGAAATATTAGGGCACTCATCTTGACGATATCTGCGAACAAAGGTCCGATTGGAGGGCACAGCAGTCACAATACGTCTACACTCTTTGCACGCTATATGCCAACTAAAAGTAAAGCCAATTGGATATGCGCACTCGAGCACGATAGTGCTCCGAGAGAGACACACACATGCAAGCACACACACTACACACATACACGGCTGACCGTAGACGCCGGCTTTTGCATGAATGTGGGCCCATTGATTGAACACATGTTGATAAAGGAACAGTAATAATCACTTGATAACTACAGTTATATAAAATTGTGCTCTTTTTTAATACTCTCTGTAATGTGAAGAGAGCCGATACATTAAGTCCGCTCTTCATAGTTTAGTCTAATTAGCTCTTAGGGAGAGAAGTAATTTATCAAATTGTAGTTTTTACTTATTAGCTTTGTGAATATGATATTAAAGATTATTTAGATTCTTAAATCTTTAAGATATTATAAATAATTTTTTTTATCATTTTATTTTAAAATAAAACCAAATATTTCTCGAAAAAAATATATTTATTTTGTTAAAATCGGAAATTCACGTATTTTGAAAGATCAAACAACAATTTACATCAAGTGTAAGGGGAAACAACTGATTCCAGTTAAATGGCTCACGGATGCTCCAATTCCACTTTCCAATTCCAGATTTTATTTAGTTGGGTTCCTTGACATCGAGCATGGCCATATGCTATAGGAATACAGAATTCTTTGCAATGATATAGTCAATGTCATTTGTCCAAGGATTCTTAAAAGCGCGCCATTCACTCTGCAGTTGAATGTAGCCATTGTCCTTGCAGCGGAAACGGTAAACTTGCGTGGTAACTGTTTCCTGCACCTGCATAACCATCTTGTGGGATTCCACCAATGCGGAAATGTCATCGTTGTGAAAGTACTCGTAGAAGCTGGTGCCCAATATTTCCTGCGGCAGGAAGCCAATTACCAGCGTAGCACTGCAAAGACCCAGAGACGCATATATAAATATACTTTACTAAAATTATGTAAGGACTTACCGTTGATCAATGAATAGGAACTTGCCTTCCGCAGAGTGACGTGAGATGAAGAGCACATGCCGAATGTTGGGATGGTTGTCCAGGGAGGAGGGCACACTCGAGTTGAGTACGTTGGTTGGTATGCGTCCAATGGCCACGAGGCAGGAGAGATTCGTTGTTTGATCATCATTGTCGCCATCCTGATCCTCGTCCTTAATGGGCATCCAGGATTTCAGGTAGCCCGTGCACTGTATTACCTGATATTTGTGATCCATGCTAAGCTTCGATTTGCGCTTGGTGGAGCTGCGGGAACTGGAAGAAGTGTCTGACTCCTCTTTGATCTGATTGTTGGCGGCACGCAATTTCATGCGACAAAAGAAGGAACGGCGAGCTCCCGGACACAGGCGACACAAGCTCTGCGGCACATCCGTCTTGACGGGCAACATAGCTAAACGAAAGGAGTTTTTGTAGATCTTGAAATTACTTAAGTATATACTTACTCTTGGCATCGATCAGTCGCTCGCGTGGACACTGCTCAAGTGAGGACAGCTGTTCCTTCACTTTGCCAATATCCTTCGGATGCAGGACATCGAACCAGCTCTGACCCAGCAGATCTGCCTGAGTGCAATTCAACACAGTGGAGACAGACTCCGACACATAGAGGATGCGTCCGCGATCACAACCCACAACAAACAGAAAACCCTCCGAGGCTTGCAATATGATCATCTTTAGCTCCTGATCCGACAGGAAACTGGGTCTATAGTCGCCTCCATTATACGGATGCAGGCTGCCTCGTATGCCTCTCAAATGCTGCACAGCCATACGCAGCACTGTCAACTTGTCCAGCTTTCGTTGCATGGCAAAGCACATGGGTATCATTGACGACAGTTCGTTAATATACGTATTCATCTTATCGCGACGCCGTTTCTCGATTTCACTGTGATTTTGCCTAAAAGGGAAATATTAATCATATTAATATATAGCCTCTTTTATGGGGCATGTTATTTGCCCTACTTGCGATTTTCATCTGAGGTGCGCGCTGATTTTTCATCATCGTATGTATCATCCTCCAGTTCATCCAAATTTTCACTGTAAGAAGCAAACATTTATTAACTGACAACGAATACAAAAATATAAGAGAAACCAACCCCATTAAAGTAACTGAGGCAACTGTTGCTTGCGGCACTCACATCCCCTTCTCGAAAACACATGTAAAACGCATGCGAACGAGAGTGTGTGTGCGTGTGTATCTATGTACTTGTGTCTGTGTCTGGCTGTCAGTGAGCACTTAGAACTACGTAAAAATTCGTACATTAAATTCGCAATTAGAACTTACCATATTTCTTGCATGACTTTGCTGTCGAAGTGTTGCGAATTTGGTTTTCTAATTTATGACTTTGAAATAAAACACAATTTATTAATTATTGTTGTTTACAAACAGTTGTAAGAAACCGTAGCGAACAATTGGCAAGAATTTGCAGTTTGACAAATGCAAGCTTTTCCAAAGGCTTAAGCTTTTCTGTCTATCTGGCAACTCTCCGTATAGCTGCATAGCAGGCTAATTGCATTTGCAGCGAACAGAGCTTTCTAGAGCTTACAATTCATATTAGATTACAATAAATATTTTTAATTCTTTTCAACATAATACAAAACGTTTTAAAAAAAAAAAAAACATTGTCATAAACAAAACATTTTTCTTTAAACATGATACATTCTATCTAAACATATGGTTATGACCTGCATATAGCGATCCCAAAGACAACGCGTTTCCTGGTCCCTAAAATAATAGATCGTTAATAATATATGTATATTAATGCATATATTCCGCAACTCACCTAGATATTTCCAAATCTAGAACGCTCTGTGTTATGGAAGCCAGAAATTTGTTCACTTGCTCGCGATTCCAACCATTTTGTCGCCAAGGCTCTACAAGTCTTTCGCAGAGATCGACGAATAAATCGCGCAACTCGCGATTTCGATGCAGATTACACGCTATGGTAATTAGAGCACGCCAATATGACCGAAAATTTCCATCCAACTCGTTAAAAGCGCGCTCCAGCAATACAGGCTTCAGGCGCATACAAACCAAGCTGTACAAAAAGTGAAAAATGTATTAATAAATAGAATCTAATTACAATTTTAGTAACGTACTGCTTAATTTCTTTTTCTTTATCTAGTAAACAACGCAGTTCACGTAAATCTAGCAGAAATTCTTTATCCATTTCGGTATCATAATATTCGGGTCCAGTGTGCTAAGGAAATATCAAGCTTTAAAGAATTAATATATAACTTTAATCAATGATCTTTACCTGATATGTATACGTCCAATAGATCATGATAGAGTGTGAGCAGGTGAGCAAATCGCTGAAAGTTAAATATTGCAACTTCTTTTTGGATGTCTCAAAGCGAAGACAAGCCAGAAATACAATGCAGGCATATTTTCTAAGATTTAGAAAAATACTAATAAATTAGGTGAGAAAATCTATGTATATACTCTACTTACTTGGCCAATTCGTTGGATATAAAGAAATGTTGCATTATATTGTTGGTCAACGTGCCAGGCATCTCCTCCACAGTACGAAAAATTCGTTTAACATTATCAAATTGACGACTGCACGTAGACAAATTGCTCAATTTTAAATAAACATATTTGAATGCATCTCAAATTACATACCGACACGATTTTAGCTTAACGCAAGTTTTATCCCCAACTTCGTCCAGATCCTTGCGATAGCGAGATGTTAATTTCTTACCCAATATTTCACGAGCCACTACATCATCAATCGAGTAATATTTCTCAATAATTAGATCGCGTGTATGGTTCTCGAGCTGAAAGCAGGATTGCTCCATTAATTTGGTGGGCGCATGCAAATACAATTCAATCAGTGAATAGGTCCTATAATGATCCAAGACATCGGAAGCTATCAAATCAATTGGCGCACCCATTGAGTGGCCAAATCCTTTTTGCTTTAAGTAGCAAACCGCCTCGCTAGCTTTGGAATGAAAAACATACATGTACATACATATATACATATGTATATGTAATTTAAGAGAGATTGAACACAGTTCATGACTTACAGGAAAATCCTTCGATCCATAATTGATAAATTTCGGGATCCACTAGTGTATAGTTGCTTATAAAAACATCTACATCTGCCTAAAAATGAATGGTCAAATATATTTCAACATAAATTTATTCGGTTAATAACATTAAACTTACCATGTTTGTTATTATTATCAAAGATTTATCGAATCACTCCAAATTAGTTCGATTGGCATATTCGCAGAGTTAAAGGAGCGAACAAAGTCTTTTAAAAACATGAACCATTTATTACAAGTATTTTTTAGTGCAACGTGTGATCCACACCTTGCAGTCAAATTAAAATTTCCGATTAATAAATAGGTTGAAGCGCATGCCCTGCAAGTCGACTTCGAAAGTAATAGTTTCCAGTATTCAAAATCAACACAATATTTATGGCTTTAATGATATTATGGTTAATGAAACTAAATATAATTAAGAATATAAATTGCAAATAAACATTTTCGATATACTAAATGTAAATCCATCGAATAGCTATCGAATGAGAAGCAAATAAGATATCGATTATATCGATACATCGTTGTGTTTCTTATATCGCTGTGGATATCAACTTTTAAGAAATGTAAAAATGTAAATTGCAACATATAATAATAATTGTAAATAGCCAAAAGCAACGTGCACAATACAAATTCAATGTGAATGGTGTGCGCGCAAAGCAACCGTAAACGCAACAATAATCAAAACAACAACAACAATAGTAACGACAACAGACTTCGTAGTTGTCGTAGCCCAATTGCAATTGCAACAATTCGATGAACAACTTCACATTCATATCCAACAAACAGAAAACGGAAACCAATAGAAGCAGAAGAAGAGTGCGTTTGTTTTATCGTGTTGTTGCGGTGCAGAATGGAACAGGATTCCTCAACTGAGCTGCATCTGAGCAGAATACGTGAAGTGAAAGATTTGGCCGCATTAACCGACGACGTGCGCGATGTTGTGAAAGAAGAGGTCACATTAGAGAATCACCATCATCATCAGGTAAATCAACACACAAAAACCGACTCAGAGTGGCGTTGGCGGCAAGGGTGGTTCGTTGGTTCGTTGGCTCGTGTGTTTGCTCGTTGAATGGTTCCTTCGTGTCTTCGTTTCGTTGGATGCCCGCGCAGCCAACGCGCAGTTGTAGAACGCGCTGCCTACTGTTAAATATGTATACACATGTATATGTGTGTGTGTGCCTGTGAGTGTTTGTGTGGGGATGTGCAAGTGCTTGTGTGAGTACATGTGTGTGTGTGTGTGCGTCTATAAAACAAGTGGTGTGTGTGTGTGAGTGTTAGACAAAGGGGGTGTAGTGGGGGCGGGCGGCGTACAGTTGAGGAGGTTTGCCAAAGGGGGCAGGCGGAGGCGGCGCAACAAAAATGCGCGCGGGGCTTGCGCCCTACACGGCCCACAGTGACAGTTCGAGTCTCAGAGCCAGAGCCAAAGCTAGAGCAAGAGCCCGCCACCAACACCACCACCTTTACCACCACCACCATCATAGCCAACTCCAACAACGTCAGAATTTGTGTGTGGCGCAAATTGTTGTGTATACCGATTTTCATTTTTCCATGCTGTGTTGTTTACTTACACAAACGAAATTTTCTTTGATTTCTTCCATGTTAAATTCCAAATAAATTATAACTGAAACAAAAATAAAATTCAATAAACGCTCGAATTGTTGTTAATGTGTTAATGTGACGGCAAAAACAATAATAACAACAACAACGTATAATCGTTGCAACTCCTTGTGACTCTGTAATGTGCGCTATGGTAATGCAGTTGGATACGAAAGTTCGCATGGTCACATCCTCCTCAAACGACAACAGCGGTAGCGGCGGCGGCAACAACGGCAGTGCGAGTGGCGGTGGCGGTGTTGTATCAGTGCCCGTATCATTGCCAATCGGTTCGATGATAACTGGGACAGCCTATAATGTGATTACGCCCGATCAGCTGCCGCACTTTAAACCGGTGCTGTGCGTCGACAACAATGGTTACCTGTCCAGCAGCACGGTCAGCATGGGCGCTGACCTGAAAACGATTGTCATACAGCAGCAGCAGCAGCAAACGCAGACGAGCGTTAATAGTAACGCCGGCAACACAAACACCACCGCCACAAATACCATTGGACTGAATCACGATGGCTCTGGTAGCAATAATAGCCATGACAGCATGAACACACTGGAGCATGCTGCTGGCGGCGGTGCTGGCAACACAACTGGTTCCACCGGCTGGGCGGAAACAACATCCAGTACACAGCACATGGAGGTCTTCCCGATACGCTGTAAAACCACCTCCGCCGAACTATATCGCAGCAAACTGGGATCTGGAGGACGAGGGCGCTGTGTCAAATATAAAGACAAATGGCATACGCCCAGTGAATTCGAGCACATCTGCGGTCGTGGCTCAAGCAAGGATTGGAAACGCTCCATCAAATACAGTGGTAAATCGTTGCAGTCCCTCATTGATGAGGGCACTCTAACGCCACATGCAACCAACTGCAGTTGCACAGTCTGCTGTGACGACGAAGCAGGTGAGTCAGGTGAGAGAAGCTACTTCAAAACAACAAATATAAATAACCTCAAGCCCCAATCAAATGTTCCAAAATAAACTTTAACAACATTTCACTGGTCACTCGAAATGCCATATGCCCGAGGTACAAAATTGTTCGCATTTTATATGTATGTTCTTCGAAAAGTCCATCAAATTGATATATTGCAAATAGGGATTGAATTAGAAATTGAGATATCTGTTCAGCAGGAATTCAAATCACAAGTTAAAAACTATACATTTTAAAGCTATTAAAATGGGTTCTCTGAAAATTCACAGCAATCCCATGATGTTAGATGCAATAATTATATTCTTAATTTGTCTATTTGAAACTCTCCTACGTAAATTTACTTCAAACCTAAAACATTCATCAACAAATTGCAAGATAATATAAATTTAAACTTCTATTAGCTCAGCCTGAAAATGTAGTAATTAAAAATAGCAAACCTCATTGAATCTGATATGTGTGTAGTCGTAACATTTTCACCCAGGCAATCCTGACACTCGCTTTAATGATATGTTACTCTTGATCTTTGTAGCTTCTGGTCCTGTACGTCTATTCACACCGTATAAGCGACGAAAGCGAAATCAAACCGAAGTGGATGTGGAGCCAGGGCCCAAACGCAAACGCAATGCACATAGCAACAATAATAATAACAACAATAGCAACGCTAACAACAACAATACAAGTGGAAGCAGCATCAACAACATCAGCAACAATATGGACCCAACGCAAGCAACCGCCACGAGTGTTGTGGATGATAACAACATGTTCTTAGCGGAAGACAACATAACGTCCAAGGATGAACCATGGGCGGCGCTCAATGACAGTTTAGACACCTCCACCGAGCTGGTTGACCAAACGCAAATGGGCAACCCGTATGAGCGTGAAACGTTTGTGGTAAACATCAATGATACGGGCTCAATCGCCGTACTGGATGGTAGTCAATCGATGAAGAACATCGAGCACGTCTACTGCACCATGGTGAAGGCAACTAACGATTTCAAACGCCTGCTCAACGACATTAAGCAGAACTACGAGCGACGGATCGAGGTTCTGCAAAAGGAGCGCGATGCAGCGGTCTCTGCGATGCGAGTGCAGGTCCACACAGACATCGATGATCCCAACATATCGGGCTCATTGCATGGCAACGAGATCATATCGGCGAAGAAGGTAGACCCAGCTAATACAAAGCCCTATTTAATATTTAATGTTTGTACTTTTTATAGTGCGCCAACTGCAACCGGGAAGCGCTGGCCGAGTGCTCGCTGTGTCGAAAGACGCCGTATTGCTCGGAGTTTTGCCAGCGTAAGGATTGGAATGCTCATCAGGTGGAATGCGCAAGGAATCCACAAACGACAACGCAACAGGTCATGTTATTAATCGATGATCAGTCCTAAGCAACGTAACGAATTGTAAATACAAATTTTACTACTAATTAATATATGATTATGCAAGGCTCCTATCCCAATCAGATAAAACAAATTCCTTGTCCAACCAGTAGACGAGACCCCTCTCCCAATATCCTTAGCAAGCCCTCCCATTAGACTTATGTCCTATTATAATGTAATTCTTAAAGTATATATAACTATACAAATATATATATATATATATGTATATATATTTATATATACATTTTACTATCGACCGTAGAAAAGAAAAAAAAGAAACGAAAACAAACAAAAAAATCCAAAAAATAAGGAAAGAAAAAGTAATCAGATAATTTGTAGCAAGCGTAAATCAAAGCAAGCGTCCATAATGGACACCTTGGCATAGCGTAAATGGGAAACTTTAGCTACGATTTGATATAATGCAACAAAATCCGAAAAAAACTTTACCATGTAATTCAATTTAAATTAAATTAATATATAGTTGCAAAGCGCATAGCATAACTAACAAAGGTCCCACAAAAAAATAAAAATAAATAAATTAATTAAAATCAAAAAACAATATCCCTCGAAAGAAATCCCCCCATTCCCTACTCTGCTTGACAACCTTTTGCATAAAACAAAAGTATAAAAGTAAAATTAAAAAAAATTAATAAGAAAAATAAAATAAAACAAATAATAAGAATCAACCAAAAGCGAGAGAATAAGCGGAAATACAATACATATTCGTCTATGTATACATTTTTCATTAGACACTAAGCACATAGTTAAACTTTTAACATTTTACGATTATAATTTTATGGATCTACTGCCCGTCGTTACAAGCATCCAATAAAGATTTCAAAACAACAAAAAATAAAATAAAAATAAAAACGAAACGATGTGAAAAAAAAAAAACCAAACAAAACCCGCAAACATTTACATTTCATAGAGATGAAAATTTAATTATTAACTAATTAAATAGTTACGTGTAAAAATTTCTGTGTCGTTGCAGTACTTTGTCCCGAGCTCCTTTGTAAAGTTTTTTGAGTCCCCTCCCTAAGAAGCTGTAACAATTTTTAGTAGTCTGTAGTTCATATGCAAACACATTCATATATACTTATGTATGTAGTATATATATTATATATATATATATAACACTTTAAACAACTAGCTATATATTCCGGTTCACACACGCACACATACAACGAGTACGCCTACGAATAAGAAGTTCAATTGCTATTTAGCAGATATCAGATACAGTCCGTTGATTCTACGCCGATTCGTGGAGATTTTGAAATCTTTTCAGATGTCTGTAACGGTTTATTCTTTCCAAATTTCAACAACAAAAACACGCGTACACTCAACACCAATACAACAGAACCAGCAGAGAGAGTGCGAAATATCAAAAGAGATGAAAGATAAGAAAAGAAAAAATATGAGATGAAAGATAAGAAATGAAAAAATATATATACTTACATTTAAATGTACAATCCTTACTTTTTGTAGAAAATATTTGTTTTTTTTTTTTTTTCATTTTTGTGCTTTTACTGTATCGACAGGTAAGTAAATCTCTACTGATTTTTCAGGACGTTCCATGTACGGCAAATACCCAGCCAGTCTTGCAATATAGCATACTTTTTGGATCAAACGACCCAGCGGTATTTGAATTCAATTTGACAGCTCAAGTCAGCCGTCTCCCTTCATAATGCTGTCCTGAGGTGAAATTGGAGTTCACCATGCTTAGGACAGCATTCGCTAAAATTCTCTAGCAGCGTGATTCGGAATTCTCGGTTGAGATGGGAACTTTCTCATAGCGAATGGCAATTATCTGCCAAATAATGAATTGCAGAATCTGAAACGTAAAATGTAAGATCAAAATACCCGTAAGAAAATTTAGACAGCTCTCCCCTCTTGTAGTTCTGAAATGTCGCCTTTTATATAAAAATAAAAATAAATTTATAAAATTTAGTTGTTAGTCAATATTATGCACATGTTTCATTTATTATTGCATTTTGCATTACATATTATTAATATGCTTATTATCATAGTCTATTACCAAAAATAATTTCTTAAAACTTGTTTACTCGTTTTATTTATTTATAGGTATGCTTTAATTACTTTAAGTTTTGCTCGGGTAGATTCTTTTATTTATTTTTTGTTTTTCGTTTTGTTTTAGCTGTAGTATATAATTCGATTTAAATTGTTTGCGTACCAGCGATAATTTTGTTCGAAAACACACGAAACTCCAAGAAACTGTAAGAATAACTACAAGAATATTCAGGATTGTAGGATAGATAGGGGAATTTTGGGTGTGTGTTTGTTGGGGGTGTATACACTGAACGAAACCGACATTTAAATTGCTGTTGATTTTTTTTTCGTGTTTAGTTTAGTAACTAATTTGTGTGATTGGTACATAGAATAAATGTGGGTGTGTTTCATAATTAATAAATACAAAACATACATATGTAGGTATATTAAATAACGTGCCTAAATATAAAACATTTCACAATTGTCTAAATAATAATATTTTGGATATACGTACATACATATATATGAAATTGATTAACAAATTTCGCTGCTGCCTAATGAAGGAAAACAAATATTTAATTTATAAACAATTGCCAAATTGGTTATTCAAGTGCCATATTTCAAAACACAACGATTTTCAATGGAAATTTGGGGAGAATTAAACAAAGCCAAAGACTGGTGAATTAGTTAATTTAAGCATTTTAACTTAATTTTAGGCGCAAAACAATTACAAGTACAATACATACATTCTTTCACTTTTCTTTCGTTTGCTGTGTTTTGTTTTGTTGTTCTTGTTTTTTCGTTTCTTTTTGTTTTTTTTTTATGGAATCACAAATGTTAGCTATAGTATTTAAATACACATGTAGGTAAGACATTCAAAATGAAAATTAAGTTTTATAGCGATTGAGAATGCTCTTGATGATGGTGTTAGAGAGACTACGGTTGCAATTGTGGTTTCTGCTGCTCCTGCAGATACAGCTGTTGCTGGTGGTGGTGTTGTGAGTGGTGGTGGTGGTAATGATGGTGGCAAAGTGTGGCTACCGGCAAGCTGCGCAGCTTCATTCCAAATTTCGCACCTCAAAGCGCTTATACGTGTAATTAATGAAGACCCAATCCTTGGCAATTTCACCGCCCTGCGGTACAGGTGCCGAAGCTAATCAACAGAAAAAGGAATATGAAACAGTTTAATAATTTATAACCTACACGTAAATAGATTGCACTTACGTATCTCCAGTGAGACATCAGGAAATTCATCAAAATTGGACGTATCGTCAATGGAGCGTACTTCAACGGGTATTGCAGCTGGCCTCTCGCGAATATGTTCCCAGTCAACGCCGCGAAAGAACGGCACCGACTTTAGATCCTCCAATCCTCGCTGGGAACCCAAGCGTCGATCGGCCTCGCAGCAGAAATTGATGATCGTCTCTTTGGCCTCCTCCGATATAGGTATTTCGGGCGGAAATATTAACGTTTCGCGCCAATTCATCACCTTGCGATACGTGTCTTGTGGGTTGTCCGAACAGAACGGCGGATATCCCATAAGCATTTCGTACATAATAACGCCGAGGGACCACCAATCACACGCAGGGCCATAACCGGTTTGCAGGAATACTTCGGGTGCTATATAATCGGGCGTTCCTACTGTGCTATAGGCTAGAGCACGACGATTTCGTTTCCAGGACTCTGCGCGCCGTTTAGAATCCATAGGACTGCACAAGTGCAATACAGATTACAACAAATTCCATTTACTATTCTGACTAAAGTATTTCACTTACCTGGCACAGGTGCCAATAAAATCGGATGGTTTCGCCTGCGATAAATCACGATAAAAGTCCGTGCGATGTGACTTCTTCAAGCCCGTGCACAATCCGAAATCTGAGAGCTATTCAAATAAATATTAGAGTTAATAACATGTATGCCTTACTATTGACATTGATACTGATTTTACCTTTAGATGCCCTCGCGCATCCAGCAGCAAGTTATCTGGCTTAATATCCCTGTGTATGAAACCGAGCTTATGAATCGAATCGATCGCTAACGCCGTTTCACTAATATAGAATTGTGTGCACTCCTCGGATAGCGTGTCCTTCTTCATTAAGAGCGTCATCATATCACCCCCAGGCAAGAATTCCATTATCAAATATAAATTGACCTGGTCCTGCGAAGCATTTGAAAGAGAACAAACGGGTTAATTTAAATTGAAAATAAACTACAAGATAAATATTAAAAAAAATATATTAAAAGGTGAAAGTGACGAAAATATGAATCATAAATCTTTGATTCTTTTCCTTCTACATATGTCATACTTTTAATTATAATGTAACCTGTTTTTATATAAATGTATTTTAAGAACGCTAAATGGTTACGAAGCTGCGAACAAAAAATGTTGATTTCTTTATTATTATGGATTATTTACACACAAATGCACATACACGCGCGCATACACACACACTTACATGTGCACATGTCTGTATTTGCGTGAAAACTTTCACCAAGAACAAATCAAAACAACAACACCAACAACAACAGTAACTGCGATAGCAAACAACAACAAAGCGCAGACCATATGATTTGGCAAGCGCGTTTGCGCTTGTATTGGTTTATTGATTTTCAACTGCATGTTGCGAATCGTGTGCGTCGTTTGCGATATTTGGTTCTGATTGCACTCTTACCTGAAAACTGTAGTACATCTTGACCACCCATTGGTGATCTGCTTCGACGAGAACATCGCGCTCAGCGCGTACGTGTGCCACCTGCTCCTTTTCGAGCATGTCCGCTTTGCGCAACACCTTCATCGCGTACACATGTCCCGTATCCTTTTTTTGCACTAAACGCACCTCGCCAAAGGCACCGCGTCCGATGACTTTCAATGCTTCGAAGTCTTCGACACCGAGACGCAATCGCTTAAGACGCAAATATTCCGTCTCTTTTTGCGCATGCTGTAAGCGTTTCTCCTGACGCTGTGACTCTGTTAGACTTTCGTCCTTCAACTGCGCCTCTAGCTTGGCCAGGCGCTGTTTTCGCTCGCCGTATTGTGTCACCAAATTGCTATAGTAATTTTCCAGCGTCACCTTGGCCTTGGTGGCTTTGTCCAGTGTGTGATCGCTGAAACGTATGGAGGAGCCATCCGTGTCCGTTCTGCTGCTCATCATCTAAACTGTGTGTGTGTGCTGATGTTGCTGGCGTGTGTTTTGTCTCTGTATGCGTGTCGTGGAATTTAGTGTCCTTGCGCGAATTAAGCACTTGCTTAAAGCAGACACACAGCTTGTAGTATTGTATTGCCGTTTTTCCTTTGTAATTTATTAAATTGCTGCCTCTCTTTCGTGTTTCGTTATCGTCGTTCTTTCTTATTGTGCTTAGGGTTGATATACATGCAATTAATCGAATGCTTTTCAATCGAATGGCATGAGCTCATTTTTGATAAGAAATTCAGTATTTTGTAAATAATACAAATGCAGTCACTCCTTTTAAAAAAGCGATAGCGATAGATATGGCGATAGAATTGGAAATCAGCTGAGTGTCAATTACCTTTTGTTGCAAACTATGTTTTTATTTCATTTAATTAACGCGCTTAAAATAATAGAATGGCGCGCACAACCGACTTTACGGATCTTAATTTTCAATGCCTCCTGTTGATATTCAAGTTGCTGCATAACTTAGAGGATCAAGTCAGTTTAGCACTTTGCTGTCGCAGATTTCGCGATGCATTCGCCTACCTGCACCGCCAACGATTCGAGGAAATAGTGGATAGCGACATAAAGCTTCGTAATTTAGACAATTGGCGTGCCTTTTTGTGGATGTGCGGTGCCAATGTCAAAAGGTTAACTTGCTATCGTGACGACGATCATCCGCTGCAAATATTATCTTTGGTGTCAAAATTTTGCGTCCGCTTAGAGAGTATTACGCTCCGTAATGTTACGGTGGTCAGAGCACAGCCGTATTTGTTGAAATTAACAACATTGAAGAAGGTTTACGTACGTAACTATAAAAGCACCAGCATAGATCTAATTAAATGCATGAAGCTGAAGCTGCCCCACATACAATATCTTGGATTGGAATGTTTTGAGCGCCGGGAATGTAAGCTTTGACTTATATTAGTTTCATTAAGGCTTCAAATTGTTTAATTCTTCCATAAATTACAGTGCAAGAGTTACGTCACTTCATCAATTTGAAGGAGCTTCAAATGTACGACGAGGTAACCGCGTCCGATTTCATTGCCATCACCAAATCCATGGGAAATTTGCGCACACTCCAACTGCGAAATGCCAAGAAATTTTTGACTACAAGTTCGCTTAAGCAACTGGCCATCAATTGTCGACAGCTAGTTAAGTTCAGCTTTCAGGATAGCGATGCAGATCTGACAGCCTTGTCCATGTTCCCCAATTTACAATTTCTTCAACTTTATTGTCCAGATAATCAGAAAACTCGCTTGTTGAAAACATTAGCCAAGTGCGCTACTAATTTGGAATTTTTGATTTTGCAACGTAAGCAATGGATCGACGAGGAGCAGGCGCAACGCATTGGCTCAATAAAAACACTCAAATGGCTTGTGTGCAAGCCTCGTAATGATCGTTGCGTGGCCCATATGGCGAATCTTACTCAATTGGAGTGCCTCTCATTGCAATGCGCCCGAGATATTGGCGAATCGGAGCTTTTGAATCTAATCCGCAATAACGAACAGTTGCGATACCTGAACATCTGCTATTGTCTGGGCATAACAGATGGCTTCATTGTGGACTTGCTCAGCATCTTGGCTAAGCGACGAACGCAACAGCCGTTGGTTCTTTATGCGGCAGCAACAGATATTAGGCATGATATCATTGAGAGAGTGAGTAGCTGACTTAACCGGTGTCGTTCCTGATTTTGACTAATTTTGATTTGTTTGTATTTTAGCTACCAACCGATTTTGCCACTAAATTGCTTATCTTATACTTTGAATGTAGTCAAGGGATGCATTCCAATGAACATTGTTACAGCGACGAACCAGAATTCGTCGCGTAATTTCGACTAGT